GAACGTGTTGTCTATGTTTATTTAAAGTTGCGCATTTTGATGTGACGTCACATTTCTCACCCCCCCCCCTCGTCACACCCCCCCTAGGTGCGTGACGTCATTTATGGACGGCCCCATATTCTTGGTGATATTCGTCCAACCGTGATGGTTGACTAAAGAGAAACAAAAAAAATATTTGACTGAGAAATATTTTAGTCACAAATTATGTAAAAAAATACAAAACTGAACACTGGCATCAACACTTGGAACCATTGAATGACCACGTTTTAGGCCGAGTGGACCTACAGGAATCCCGTGCCAGACACCAATTTCAGTCTGAGCGGACCTAGGGGGGGGGGAACACCCATTCAGAAGCCGTAACCTGAAGCTCATTCGGTTAATTTCCATTGATTGAACTGCGGAGAAAGGAGGTGAATAATTCATCACAGCGGCACACACAACTCCGAAGCGTTGTGTCGGAAGGGTGGACCCGAAAGAAATCCGCGGATGCCAAACAGAACTCCGAAGCATCGTGGAAGAAGGTGGACCCGAAAGAAATCCGCGGATCTCAAACAGAACTCCGGAACACCGTGTGGGCAGGGTGGACCCGAAAGAAATCCGCGGATCCCAAACAGAACTCCGAAGCATCGTGGAAGGTGGACCAGAAAGAAATCCGCGGATCCCAAACAGAACTCCGAAACGCCGTCTAGGCAGGGTGGACCCGAAAGAAATCCGCGGATGCCAAACAGAATTCCAAAGCGTCGTGTAGGAAGGGTGGACCCGAAAGAAATCCGCGGATCTATTTCAGAAATACGTGGAACCATTTAGATAATTAGAATTATCTGTGGCGGCTATACAATGAGATTATGATCGGTGTTTATTTTTAAAAAAGTGCAGTTAGTGAACACCGACTCGTTGGGTCTGTCGGTAAAGTAACGTAGATCAAAATAATAATAAAATATTCTTTCAGGAAAATTCCGTAGATAAAAAAGTAATTTTTTTTTATTTTAAATTTTTTCTATTTACGCGACTTTGCCGAAAAACCCAGAGTATGAAGTCCTGCAGTCACGAAAGCCTCAAGTCAAGATTTAGTGAGCACCTATTAAGGCTGACGGGGGGAGGGTATGGTATGGCTCGCACCATGTCAGGTCTTCTTTGTCTCCCCAGTGCTGCTATTTACACATTGCAACAGTTGTTTAAGGCCGAGCCGACCTAGAGGAGGCCCAGATATCGCTCCACTACTGGGTCGGATGTTGAAAGCAATGCGCGAGCCGCTGCTCCACCACTTCCTACACACAAAGATCCCCCGTGTAGCCTTTAAGACTGTAGGGGCAAGTGCTGTTAGCGAGCACCTATGAAGGCCGGCACGGCACAGGAGGGGGTGGGTGGCCAGCACCACGCCCGACCGCCTTTGTCTCCCCAGTGGCGATGTTTACACACCGCACCAGGTACTCATTTAAGGCCGAGTTGATCTAGGGGAGGCCCGGGACCGGTTCAGATAATCGTCACCGGTGTTGGCCGTGAGCGGGAATCGAACCCGGGTCGCCGGGTTTATTGCGCAGTGCGCTAACCGCTACACTACCGCTCCCCACACACATTGACACACAGACATCCACCTACACAGATGCACACCCCCAGACACACTGACACACACACATCCACCTACACAGATGCACACCCCCAGACACACTGACACACACACACCCCCACACACACTGACACACACACACATCCACCTACACAGATGCACACCCCCAGACACACACACACACCCACACACACTGACACACACACATCCACCTACACAGGATGCTCACCCCCAGACACATTGACACACACACACATCCACCTACACAGACGCACACCCTCAGACACATTGACACACACACACATCCACCTACACAGATGCACACCCCCAGACACACTGACACACACACACCCCCACACACACTGACACACACACATCCACCTACACTGGATGCTCACCCCCAGACACATTGACACACACACACATCCACCTACACAGACGCACACCCCCACACACATTGACACACACACATCCATCTACACAGACGCACACCCCCACACACATTGACACACACACATCCATCTACACAGATGCACACCCTCAGACACATTGACACACACATCCACCTACAGAGACGCACACCCCCACACACATTGACACACACACATCCATCTACACAGATGCACACCCTCAGACACATTGACACACACATCCACCTACAGAGACGCACACCCCCACACACATTGACACACAAACACACACATCCACCTACACAGATGAACACCCCCAGACACAAACAAAAAAACACAAAATCACGCTCACAAACACGTGGGAGTAAGACCATTTTTCCTTTTTATTGATTTTTGTTTTTTTTAAGGAAAATGTCAAATTTCGCTGTTCACAACCGAGCTCCGTCACAGCGCGTCATTGCAAAGGTTCTGCTTTGGTAGAGAGAAATGTTCTGGATGGGGCTCTATGTTGGATGAGACAAGGGTTCTGTACTGGATCATAGTAATGTTAAAATATTAATATTTGTATTTTGCCAGGCAGGTGTGTGGCCTACTGAGCTGGGTAGATGTTTTTTTCAGAAGCGATCTGGCCACAAATGACGGCTCAACGAAGTGGCTAATCACGTGGGAATTTATAGCAGCCAAATACTTTCAACGCACTTCGATTCCATCCAAATGTGGAGGGGAAAAACTGTAGGACCCGGAGAAAAATCCACGTGACCGCCAGGGGGAGAGAGAGACACGAAAACTTCAAATAGAGAGGCGTCAGGGTCGGGATCAAACCCACGACCAATCTCCTGTACGCCGGGCGAGGTAGCTAACATCTCGCCAATGTACGCTCTCATCCCCCCACCAATACACGGGCTGCTTCAGAAGAAACGTGAACACTTCTGCGAACTTGCGACAATAACCTCAAGACACGCGCCGAACTTCGCGCTCCGGTGATCACCTGGAGAAGATTCCAGGCACGCGGTGACGACGATGGCGACAAAGTGGTGACTGACTTTTTGAAGCTATTAACGTTACATTTGTTATCGTGTTACAGCGTAGAATCCCTTTAGATCTGAAGCTTTCGTGACTGCAAGGATTCATACTCTTTGGTTTTTTCGGTAAAGTCACGCGGGTGAAACAATTAATAAAAATAAAATAAATGAAAACAACTCAATTAGATCACGACGTTTCGAAGGCAACACAAGCCTCCCTCATCAGGTGTAAGAAGGCACAGCAAAATAACTGCAGCCAGTTATTTTCCTGTATTTAACGTGATTTAATTTAGCTGTTTTCATTTATTTTATTTTTATTGCTTCACCTACGTGACTTCACCGAAAAAACCAAGGAGTAAGCGTACCATCCGTTCTTTTCCCATTAAAAACGATGGTCCCATATAAGTGTCAACGTTTCTTTTGAAGCGCGCTGTATTACGAATCCCCCGGCCACCGCTGTAGAGGAGTGATCTCCGCGCGTTAATGGGATTGCTCAGTAAGCTACTCGTCGCTTGGGGCATCACAGAAACGGCAAAGAAATAATATCGTGACAAAGCTGACGACGACGATGACGCTGCTGCGGCGCACGAGGTGACGGCGCTGGAGTGGAACTGCGACATGACCACCGGGTCTAGGATGCGACGACTTCCTCCCCTGCAATGGCAGCAAACACAAACAACGTTAAACACGCGAGAGGGCTCCAGCATACACGTGGCACCGATCATCAGTTTTAGTTTTTATTGGGCCATTCTAGATTTGAAGCTTTCGTGACTGCAAGGATTCATATTCTTAGGTTTTTTCGGTAAAGTCACGTAGATAAAAAATTTAAATTAATAAAAGTAAAATAAAAATGACGACGTTTCGGAGGCAACACAAGCTTCCGTCTTCAGGTGGAACCGTCACAGCACGATTGCTGTATCAAGTGAGAGAAATTCCAAGAAACAGTATTTGTATATATACTGGTTGAGGGTGGGTGGAGCCAAGGTAGGCCCTGAATATTATTGTTGTCAGGTTCGGTGCGGCTGAAGCACGCTGTTAGGAAAGAGCCTTTGTTGTGTAAACTAGGTGCGGATGATGTAAAGGTGCGTGTCAAAGGGACTGAGCCTTTTTGTTATGTAGAGATGATGCGGTTGAAATCGCTGCCAGGAAATGAGTCTTTGTTGTGTAGAATGGTTGACTGAGCCTATTATTATTATGTAGAGGTGGTGCGGCTTAAATCGCTGCCAGGAAATTTATTGGGCCATATTGCCGCCCGAGCTGAACGCCAGCGTGCGTGCGGGCAACCCCCTTCCGTCACCGCCCGACAGCCCGTTAAATTGAGTGGTCACGTGACCAATGTTGGCCGGCAACGAGCGTCGTGCCCGGCCACTACGCTGACCGTGCTTGGCCGTGTCGGGTGGAGGAGGGCGCACGACACAAACGCTGAAAAAAATCAATGACCGGCGGAATGAAAGCAAAGTCGGCAACTCTCAAACACGAAAAACGCGGCAGCGAGTTGCCAGAGCTCATCTCTTTGGGGGTTAGGCCACCACGCAATGATCGCACGTCATGTGTGTTGATAAGACGCCCACCCACACCCCGCTCCCATCACCCCCCCACACCCCGCTCCCACCGCCCTCCCGCTCCCGACGCAGCCACACAAGGTCAATGTCACGTGCAAGGTCAATGTCGCGCGCACACAAAGCCTCCAAGGGCGCGACGATTATTGACGGTGTCGGCCTCGCCTCTCACCGGCGAATTGGAAGGGCGATTCTCGCAAACAAGTTTTGCAATCCAACTCTCACCTCGCACCGCCGCCATCAACACGGCGGTGGCGATGGTCTCGTGGCGATGGCAGTGATGGTGCTGGTCGCGTGTTAGTCGCGTGTTAGTCGTGACTTGGCGGTGCGGGGTGATGGCGGTGGTGATGATTGCGGTGAAAACGGTGGTGGTCGTGGTGATTGTGGTGGCAAATCGACTCAGTCTCAAATGAGTACCTGGTGCGGTGTGTAGTAAACATCGCCACTGGGGAGACAAAGGCTGCCGGGTGTGGTGCTGGCCACCCACCCCCTCGTGTCCCATGCCGGCCTTCATAGGTGCTCGCTAACAGCACTTGCCCCAACAGTCTGTTCAAGGCTATATGGGGGATCTTTGTCTTTGGTGGTAGTGGTCGTGATGGAGGTGGTGTTTTTGGTTGCGGTGCCGATGGCTGTGTGGGCGATGACGTTAATGATGACGGTGTGATGGTGGTGTGGTGATGATGATGACGGTGTGATGGTGGTGTGGTGATGACGATGATGATGACGGTGTGATGGTGGTGTGATGATGATGATGAGGACGGTGAGGATGAGGAATCTCACCGGCTTCTTCTTCCTCCTCATCCAAGTCATCGTCGTCCTCCTCGTCCTCCTCCTCCGAGCTGAAGGTCCCATCAGGGAGCGAGTAGACGCGGATCACTTGCTGCGAGACAGTATCAACATCGGCACCGCCGTCGTCAACATCAGCACCAACACCATCGACACAACCACTAACACGATAAGCACCACCACCACCATCACCACCACCATCACCACCATCATCACCATCACCACCATCATCACCATCATCACCACCATCACCACCATCACCACCACCATCACCACCATCATCACCATCACCACCATCACCACCATCACCACCACCATCACCACCATCATCACCATCACCACCATCACCACCACCATCATCACCATCACCACCATCACCACCATCACCACCACCATCACCACCATCCTCGCCATCACCACCATCCTCACCATCACCACCATCACCACCATCCTCACCATCACCACCATCCTCACCATCACCACCATCACCACCACCATCACCACCACCATCACCACCATCACCACCATCCTCATCACCACCAACGACGTCACCACTAACACCCATCAACAACATAAACGCCACCAACATCACCACCAACGTCCATTACAAACATCACCACTCACATCAACACGGACATCGGCACAACCACCGCTGCATCGGCACGATCACCGCTGCAATCGGTAGCAGCATCATCATCATGGGGCATCCTTTGCCAGTACCAAAATATGATAATAAGTTTTCCCCTTTTATCTGGCAACAAAACAGTTGTGTTAAGATTTTAAAACACCAAACTGAAACCTTTTACAAGGAATCATGTCTGCATTGACCACAATACTTGTGGTCAGAATGCAAACAAAAAACACACTGATAATATTTGCATTGTCCTTGAAACTGATTGGTCCACACCAGAGACAAAGAAAGCCTCGTCTCAAACGGTGTTAGACCAGAGGACGCCACAAGGCGTATAGAGAGTAGCATCGTCAACCATGAGCGGCAGAATTAGTCAGAGCAGTACCATCGTCACCACTATGAGACATCTCCTTTACCAGCGGCAAAATATAGTAATAGGTTTTTACCCTTTCAACTGGTACAAAAACTGACACCTTTATCCAAGGGATCATGTTTGCAATAACCACAACACAAGCAGTCAAAATGCAAACAAAAAGAAACAACTCTGATAATGATATGCACTGTCCTTGAAGTTGATTGGTCCACACCCGAGACAGCTTTTCTTAGAGCCTAGTCTCCATTGGTGTTGGACCAGATGACGCCAAAAGGCGTACAACTCATTATCATTATCAGAGTTGTTTCTTTTTGTTTGCATTTTGACTGCTTGTGTTGTGGTTATTGCAAACATGATCCCTTGGATAAAGGTGTCAGTTTTTGTACCAGTTGAAAGGGTAAAAACCTATTACAACACCGTCACCGTCCCCACCGTCAATTATTATCAGGATCATCATCATCACCATTCTTATCGTCCGTCTCGTTGATTCAATGTTTGCAACAAAACAGAGGGAGGGGGAGGGAGGGGGAGGGAGGCAGAGAGGGAGGCAGGGAGGGAGGCAGGCAGGGAGGCAGGGAGGGGGAGGCAGGGAGGGAGGCAGGGAGGCAGGCAGGGAGGCAGACAGGGAGGCAGTCCCACCTTGTTTGGGTCCTTGAGGATGAGGTACTTGCCCTCCGGCAGCTTCATGCAGGTGTCGACGATGCAGCGCAGGATGCCCCAAGCGTTCTCCAGGTTCAAGTTGATCTGGCTGGCGAACTCGCCCGGCTTGAACTGCTGCGTGCCCAGCACCACGTGGCGCGCAGAGTCCTTCACGTGGTAGCGCGACACGTAGCTGCGGTACGGCAGGGGTTGAAACGCAGCCCGATTATTTCAAAGATTCCAAGTCTACGGTTTAAAACAGGATCGTCACGGTCCGCGTCGTTTGTCTGCGAGCACCGATGAAGGCAGGCACGGCGCTCGCACGATGAGCGGGTGGACGGGAGGTCACCACGATAACCCGCCCGGCGCCCGCGTCGCGCCACCGATTGCCGCCGCACCGTGAAACAAAACCGCCATCGTGGCACGACTCGTGCGAGAGACCGCACCCTGGGCGAGCGAGCGAGAGAGGGAGAGAGCGAGAGGGAGAGAGCGAGTGAGAGAGCGAGAGACCGCACCCTGGGCGAGAGGGAGAGAGAGCGAGAGAGGGAGAGAGAGCGAGAGAGGGCGAGAGAGAGGGCGAGAGCGAGTCCACGGGACGAGCCGCTCACCCGAGCTTGAGGTACTCGGAGCTGGAGAGGAGGGCGCAGCAGGTCCACTTGGCGAGCTTGTACGAGTTGTTCTTGAGCTCCGTGGCGAGCACCGCGCCCCGCTGAGAGTCCAGCTTCTGACGCCACTCGACGCCGTTACAGAACTAGCGAGGCGGGATGACAGATACACACGCAGCTGTTGATACACAAATAAACGGATAGACATAAACACACACAGCTTCTGATGCCACTCGACCCTGTTACACAACACGACCCTCGTTAGTTATGTAACAGAGAGAAAGATACACACACAGCTGTAGATACAAAGAGACATACAAGTATAGTGGGTTCACCGACACACACAGACACAGATACACACACAGCTGTAGATACAAAGAGACGTACAAATGTAGCGGGTTCACTGAGACACACACATACACAGATACACACACAGCTGTAGATACAAAGAGACGTAGAAATGTAGCGGGTTCACTGAGAGACACACACTAACTCTGGATGCACGGGATAACGACATAAACAGGAAGTCGGCACACTGCCTGACCCACAATGCCGAGCACGACGACCCAGGGGAAGACGCAGCAATGAGGACTCCATTCCAGCAGACAGCCCCGACCCAGCCTCAGGACCTCCCTGTTATACCCCCCAGCGTGGCCTGGCTCCGCCCCCTTCCCGCCCCCTTCCGTAACCTCCCAGAAGGTTCTGGGCCATACCCCACGTGTCCCTTCTGTCACCTTTGGCCCACATCCTTACCCTGGCCCGTCACGTGCCCTCGCCAGCCAATCGGGCTGCTACGTCCTCAGATGCCCCCTCTCCTCTCTGCCAGCCACCAGCACTACGCCCCCTAGGGACCAGCTCTATGACATTGCATGCCCTGCTGGCAGAGAGGGCTACTACACTCCCCGTTCCACTATCAGTAACTGGCGGTAAGCGCCGTAGTGACCCATTCTATGTCACCACACAAATAAACAGATAGAGACACACACAGACACATCAAACGCACACACAACTCCTGACGACGCTCTGGCCGGCAATTACTAAGCGCGTGTCCACGTGTCAGAGGTCGCAATCGGGTACCCGATACCCGTACCCTACCCGATACCCGGCTACCCTGGTAGCCGTTTGCGACCCTGGTGCGGCCGGGTACGGGTAGCCGGGTAGGCCGTGAGTCACTGGTGAGTAACCGTTTGTCACTCATTTCCCAACGTCTTGTCTCTTCTCACAATTCAAGTTCCTAGAATCAACCCACCCGCGCCTGCAACATGGCTTCATCCCAGAGGTCGCAATCAGGTACGCGTACCCGTACCCTACCCGATACCCGGCCGGGTACGGGTTTTCGGGTATCGGGTAGGGTACGGGTACCCGTTTGCGACCCTGGTGCGGCCGGGTACGGGTACGGGTAAAGAATCAAAACCCGTTTGCGACCTCTGCCACGTGTCTCACCCGCGAGTCCCACTCGTTGAGGGTCTTGATGTTGATGAAGGAGACCTCTCCGTTGGCCCCGGTCAGCACGGCGTCGTGCTCGCAGCGAACGATCAGTTCGATGTCCTCTCCCAGCTTCCACTTGCGGTACCTGCGGGAGGACGGAGGGGGAGGGCCACGTTGCCGCGTGAGAATCGGGAGGCTCGCGACGGACGCTGCCTGGCAGAGTTAGGGGCAGTCGCCCCTACGGCAAAAACTAAGGGCGGGGGGGGGGATCGGGGCGAAGCTCGCAACAACGAGCGGAGCGCCACGCGTCTGGAACGAAGCGGAGCGGCGGAGTGGGGAGCACAGACGGTGCCATTTGCCGGTCATCTCAGGTCGGTCAAACGGGTCTGCCCCGTGACCTCCTGCACACAGCGAGCCTTAACAACACACTTCCCAATGTGCAAGTAGCCTGGCACAAGCGCTCTGGTGATATCCCTGCCGCCTAAGTGTCAAATGGCGGCCGTTGTTGTGAGTGCGAAGGTGTGTGTGTGTGTGTAGGTGTGTGTGTAGGTGTGTGTGTGTAGGTGTGTGTGTGTAGGTGTGTGTGTGTAGGTGTCCGGCAAAACAACCTCCTACCTCCTCGCGGTGCCGGACGGGCAACATTGTCGTGGGCAGTGCTGTGGGGGGAGGGCCAATGCCCATTGGCCTCTCCCCTCATGGCGTCTGTGACCGCCACAGTGGCTAAACGGGGGCTCTGGACGGGTGTGAGGGGCTGGTAACCCCTCCACCTTCAATTAACCACCACTAAACCACGAATTAAACATAAACCTGTAACAAATAAGCTTGTGCCGGAGGCCCCGGGGGGTCAGGCTTTTATGACGTCTCCTGGCCAAACCCCATTTGGCGGAGCCAGGAGATTGAATTTTCACCCTCGGGGCTCCTCCAGAAACAACAAAAAACCATTGCGGATGGCCACGTGGAATGTTCGAACGCTCACTGCGGAGGAGAGGCTGCCACTCCTCTGTCGGGAGCTGGACCGGTACCGCCTGGATCTCTGTGGCATTCAGGAGGTCCGGTGGACCGGTTCTGGCTCCTGCCACCATGAGGGGTGGACAGTCCTCTACTCGGGGCAGGAGACTGCCAAACAACAGGGTGTGGCTCTTCTTCTGAACAAAAGAATGAAGGGGGCATGGGAGCGTGGCGGTGAGGTGTGGGAAGCTGTAAGCCCCAGGATACTTTGGGCTCGCCTTCCCATCAACCAGAGGCGAGGAGTGGTGGTCGTGGTTACTTATGCCCCCACCGAAGACGAACATCCGTGGAGGGATGCAGGCAAAGCCGATGAGTCAGACGCTTTCTATGACCTCCTGTCACAGGTGCTGGCTAAAGTGGCCACTCGGGACAGAGTCATCTTGTTGGGTGACTTCAATGCCCGAGTTGGTCATGATGCTGGTACCTGGTCTGGAGTGATTGGAAGGCATGGGCCAGATCAGCTCAATAATAACGGTAGGAGGCTGCTAGATTTTTGTGCAGCCCATGGGCTTGTAATTACCAACACGCTCTTCCGGCATCGGCGCATCCACACAACATCATGGATACATGCCGGGTCCAAGCAAGAACATCTGCTGGACTACATAGTGACGGACCAGCGGATGCGAACCCATGTCCTTGACACCAGGACCTACCGTGGAGCTGATCTGTCCTCTGACCATCGACTAGTCATCTGTAAGATGCGCCTGCCTTTCTTCCACTCTGGTGGTGGGTGTACACCCAGGATCCCATTCCAACCAAAAGTGGCCTGGTCTCAGTTAGCTGATGAAAGTTGCAAGCGAGAATTTCATCATCGCTTGCAGCTGGGGTTGGCATCGTCCCCCACTCCACCTGATGTCGAGGGGAAATGGGCGAGGTTTAAGACTGTGACTCATGCAGCTGCAATGGCTGCTTTGGGTACGCGGTCCAGACCTCCCCAGAAACCCTGGCTGACAGAGGAGGTGTTCAGGTTAATTGAGAAAAAGCGTCAGGCCCACTCTCATCGCCTACAGCATCCCACGTCAGAGAATGAGGAGGTTTACCGCAGCCTTCGCTCGGAAGTTCGGAGAGCCGTAAGGCGTTGTAAGGATGGGTGGTGGTCGCGGGTTGCTGAGGAGATGGAGTCTGCCTCAGTGGCCCGTGATCACAAATCACTATTTAACTCCATCAAAAAAGTAACCTGCAGCGCCACACCTATTACCATCATTAGAGGAAAAAACGGTGATCCAATCTCCGACCCCCAGGAACAGGTTTGCAGATTTGCTGAGCATTTCTGTGAAGTCCTGGGGGAGGGAAATTCTCTCAGCCAGGAAAACATCATGGCACAAAGTGGTGATAACCCTGCTGAGGCTGCGGTGCCTCAAATATTGGAAGAGGTCACCCCCTGTGAGTGGCTGGCTGAGGTGCCAGCTGTTGAGGAAGTACTGAGGGCGATCCGGAGTCTGAGACCAGGGAAGGCATCGGGCAGAGATGATCTCCCAAGCGAAATGCTGAGGGAGGGTGGCGTTTGTGCACAGACTGCCCTATATGACATCATAACAACAGTCTGGACCACTGGACGGGTTCCGCAGGACTGGAAGGATGCCCTGGTGGTTCCCCTCTTTAAGAAGGGGGACCGTACCGACTGTAACAACTACAGGGGCATCTCACTCCTCAGTGTGCCGGGTAAGGTCCTGGCAAGGATTATTCAACATCGCCTTGCTAGGCACGCTGAGGAGAGGCTTGCGGAGCCCCAATGCGGTTTCAGGAAAGGGCGGTCCTGCACAGATGCCATATTTTCTGTCCGTCTGCTACAGCAGAGGTGTAGGGAATTCCAAAAAGACCTACATCTCTGCTTTATTGACCTGGTCAAGGCCTATGATACCATCAGTAGGACTGGGCTCTGGGTTTTTCTTCGTGCTTTCGGAGTCCCTGACCCTCTGCTCACGATCATTAAGGACCTTCATGATGGTGAGCGGGCCCGGGTAAAACTACGTGGCCGGGAGTCGGAGCCTTTCCCTGTACACCTTGGGGTGCGACAGGGATGTCCTCTGGCTCCCACATTATTTAACATCTATTTTGACCGCGTAGTTCGTGAAGCCTTCAATAGCTGTACCGGAGGAATTTCCATTTGGTACAGATATAATGGGAGGCTGATCGACGCCCGGGTGCGATCAAGGGATGGCTCCCTATTGGTCAACCACGTTATGTATGCCGATGATTTGGTAATAGCTGCTCATTCAGAAGAGGAGTTGGAGACGCTGCTGCTGAGACTGGAGCGTGCCACCAAGAGGTGGGGCCTTACCATCAGCCCCACCAAAACTAAGCACCTGCCTGGGTATTTTGTACCATCGGACACTCCACCCCCACAACTCCCAATTGGTGATGGGGCAGTTGTGGAGAGAGTGGAGAGTTTCCCATACCTGGGCAGTGTGCTTATGACCGGCTCCAGTCTATCAGCAGAGGTCTCACTCCGAATCAGTCGAGCGGCAATATCTTTTCATCGGTTGCGTAACGCTGTGTGGAAGCTACCTGGTCTGTCGCTCCGCACGAAGCTTCAGGTCTTCTCGGCCACGGTCATTCCCTCCCTTCTCTACGCTTGCGAGACGTGGACCCCCCTGGTGGAGCATCTTCGCCGGTTGGAAACATTTAGGCTGGCCTGCCTACGATCCATCCTGGGTTTAACCAGGCTGGATTGTGTGAGGAGCTCACAAATCCTTGAAAGATCTGGGCAAAGTCCCATCAGTGAGCTCCTCCGGCAGGCAAGGCTGCGTTGGCTGGGTCATGTAGCCCGCATGCCCAGCCACCGCATGCCTAAACAGCTTTTGTTCGGCCGGATCGAGGGGGCTAGACGGGCGCGGCACGGGCTGGAGAAGAGATGGAGTGATGTGGTACAGGAGGACGTGGAGCTGAGTGGACTTGCCGATGACTGGTACCAGCGGTGTCAAGATCGGCCTCAGTGGAGGAGGCTCGTGAAGGACGCTACTGGGCAGTTGGAGGCAGTCGCCCTCCAACAACAACGGAGGGCGGAGGAGCGACGCTCACAACAACGAGCGGAGCGCCGGGTGGCTAAAGCACAGCAAGTTGGCACAGTAGGGGGCACAGGTGGTGCATCAGCCAGTCATCTCGGTCATCTCGGTCAGTCGACCCGTGGCACCTGGGTCTGCCCCGTGACCTCCTGCCAGCGGGCTTTCGACACTTCACGTGGCCTCAAGGTGCACTTGGCCTGGCACAAGCATCGTGGTGACGTCACCGCCACTTAGTGGCGAATGGCGGTTGTTGTTGTTGTTGTTGTGTAGGTGTGTGTGTGTAGGTGTGTGTGTGTAGGTGTGTGTGTAGGTGTGTGTGTAGGTGTGAATGTGTAGGTGTGTGTGTAGGTGTGTGCGTGTGTGTGTGTAGGTGTGTGTGTGCGTGTGTGTTGGTTAACAGTGGGGGGCGGTAGTGTAACGGTTAGCGCGCTGCGCTACGAACCCAGCGGCCCGGGTTCAATTCTCACTCACGGCCAACACGGTGACGATTATCTGAACCGGTTCAGGGCTTCCCCCTAGGTCGACTCAGCCTCAAATGAGTACCTGGTGCGGTGTGTAAACAGCGTCAACTAGAGAGACAAAGGTGGATGGGCGTGGTGCTGGCCATCAAAACCTCTCGTGTGCCGTGTCGGCCTTCATAGGTGCTCGCTAACAGCACTTGCCCCAACAAGTCTTAAAGGCTACACGGGGGATCTTTGTGTGTAGGAAGTGGTGGAGCAGTGGCTAGCGCATCGCTTACAAACATCAAACCCAGTAGTGGAGCGATATCTGAACAGTCCTGGGCCTCCTCTAGGTCGACTCGGCCTTAAACAACTGTTGTGTAAATAGCAGCACTGGGGAGACAAAGGAGGCCTGACATGGTGCTAGCCACCCCCCGCCCCCTCAGCCTTAATAGGTGCTCACTAACCGCACGTTTTTTTTTATAAACAAACACCGATCATAATCTCATTGTATATCTGCCACAGATAATCTAAAAGGTTCCACGTATTTCGGAAGTAGATCCGCGGATTTCTTTCGGGTCCAGCCCTGATACACGGCGCTACAGAGTTATGTTTGGGATCCGCGGATTTCTTTCGGGTCCACCCTGCCGAGACGGCGCTTCAGAATTCTGTTTGAGATCTCAGTTTGTGGTTAAACGTAAAACGCGTGCACGTGCGCACAAACACGTTGGGGGAGGATCTCACCTGTAGCCCACAGACGCAACTTCCGCTCCCTGGAGGTCATCCTCCGTGAAGGGGTTGGGCTTGGGGAACTTGTACTTCTCTGCACCCTGAACACAGCACAAAGATCCCTATTTAGCCTTAACAGACTTGTAGGGGTGGGGAGGGTCTGGGTGGGGAGGGTGGGGCTGGGTGGGGAGGGTCTGGGTGGGGAGGGAGGGTCTGGGTGGGGAGGGTGGGGCTGGGTGGGGAGGGGCTGGGTGGGGAGGGGCTGGGTGGGGAGGGGCTGGGTGGGAAGGGAGGGGCTGGGTGGGGAGGGTGGGGCTGGGTGGAGAGGGGCTGGGTGGGGAGGGGCTGGGTGGGGAGGGGCTGGGTGGGGAGGGGTGCTGGGTGGGGAGGGTGGGGCTGGGAGCGGTGGGGCTGGGAGGGGCTGGGTGGGGAGGGTGGGGCTGGGTGGGGGGTGGGAGGGGTGGGGCTGGGTGGGGAGGGGCTGGTCACCCCGTGGTGCCCTTATAAAACTCAACGTTTAACCTACTCACGCCGGCTTGTGCCCGCCCTCACAGTCGGGCATATTTGCGGAATACACCACGCCGCCGTTGACCCTGCAGGCCATTGACCGAGCAACCCAACGTTCCTACCAGCTCCCTCCGCAGGACAACGTGTTTATAAAGCCCACAGAAAACCAGCGGTCGCGCTACAGGAGCGCAATGGGGTGAGAACTGTACCTCAACACGTGTGGCGTGGACGGTCAAAGCCGGGATAAGGAAAACCCGCGATGGGGAAAGTTTGAGTGTCGGTGGCGATCCATTCATACCCCATTGTCACATCTCCTCCCCGCGTCTCCCATCTGTCCACTGTGCCCCCACCCCGCTGGTTATCCCCACGTGCCCATGTCCCCCACCCCCATGTGTCCCGCGCGTGCCCGTGTCTTCGTGTCTCCCATCTCTCCCCCCGTGTCTCCCATCTCCCCCCCGCGTCTCCCATCTCCTCCCCGTGTGTCTCCGTGTCTCCCCCTCATGTCCCCGCTTATGCCTGTATCCCCCACGTGTGCCCGTGTCTCCCATCTCCCCGCCGTGTGCCCCCACGTAAGCCTGTGTCCCTGTGTCTCCCATCTCCCCCATGTGTCCTTGTGTGTGCCTGTGTGTCCCTGTGTCTTCCATCTCCCCCCATGTGTTCCTATGTCTCTAATCTCGCCCCCTCATGTGTCCCCGTGTGCGCCCAGCCCCCCGCCGTGTCCCTGCGCGTGCCCGTGCGTGGCACACCATCTTGAGGCACTGCTGGGAGAAGTTGTGGTTGATGAAGGTGGCCTCGAGTGCGAGGTTCCGGGGGGAGTTGATGGCGTTCCCCTCCTCCTGCGGGGGCTCGTTCGCCGTCTCGCTCACCGTCAGCAGGTCTGACGCACGCGCACACGACAAGAGTTTAACACGCAGAAGTAGTGGCGGCGGGACGCTTACGCGACCAATATCATCCACAAGAGGCTTTTTGGGTTAGAACGCGTAAATACAAATGCGTCAATTCGTCACTCGTACAGCACGAACCGGTGTGTTGGAGAGCCAAGCCACAACATTCACAATCAGAGTCCGACGTCTCGCCGACGACGACGACAACCGCCGTTAAGTGGCGGTGACGTCACCACGGCGCTTGTGCCATGCCGGGGGCACTTTTGAGGCCACGTCAAAGTGGTCTCAACAACACCGTGGATCGTGCCCGTCGTACTCGCTCAACGGAGGGCACCTCAACCCGCCATTCGTAGGGGGTGGGCTACTTCTTCCAATATTTGAGGCACTGCAGCCCCAGCAGGGGTCAACCCCGACCTTGTCCATGATGTGTTCTGAACCGATTTCCCCTCCCCCAAAACCTCAGAGAAATGCTCTGCAAACCTGCAGATCTGTCTCTGGCTGGGGGGGTGTCAAGATTGGATCAGCGTTCTTTCCCCTGATGGGCGATAGATGCGGCACTGCCGGTTACTTTCTTGATGCAGTTAAATGAGAGTGACCACATTCATCGGCGCTCGCTAACAGCGCTTGCCCCAACAGTCCCTGCCAAGGCTACACGGGGGAACCGTTGTCGTCGTGTACACCAGCGTTCTTCACCAATTTTCAATCGGGGGGGGGGGCACTTTCGTCGATAAGACATCATCGCTGCGAGTGCCGCCGCACATTTGAAACCATTGCCGTTTGACAGCACAACGACGATGATGATGGGGGGGGCGTTTTAACATTTGTGTATTGTCGGGGGGGGGGGGGGGCACGTCAGGTGGCCGCACTAAAAGACCACCAGGGGAAGGCCACCACGGGGCCACCGTAGTGACGTCACCGCCACTTGCAACCAAGAACGCCGGTGTGTAGGCGAATGCGTGGGGGGGGGGGGTGGGAGTAGAAACCGAAGTCGGAGTTGTCCCTCTTGTCGAAGAAGAGCTTGGAGCCGACGCGCTGCACCAGGATGTCCCACGAGTAGACGGAGCGTGTGCAGCACATGAGCGTCGCCAGGATCGCGTCCGTCGCAAACACGTTCCCCTCGCTCTTAGCCAGCTGGGATGTCGCGGACACGCGCACAAAGATGTACACACACGCACATTAGGGTTGTTTAAACGAGAAGTGGTCAACCGGTATCTCATACCGGCACTTAACGGAACAACGACACGGCGTGTCCTGACACTTTAAAATTCCTACGCTGCAAAGTTTCCGCAGACGAGGAAACAGCAGTGAAGGTTCAACTTCTTTCGCGCCGTCCGCAGCCAACCGTGCTAACCGGAAAGTGCTTTGGAAGGACAGCAAATTGAACACAAGAAGCAGTTCTAAAGAAATTAAGTTTTCACTTGTGCGTGTGTGAGATCTGGTGAGCTCATCTGTCAAACAAGGCTGCATTGGCTGGGTTACGTAGCCCGCATGCCCAACCACTACGTGCCGGATGCAGGGGTCTAAAAGGACGTGGTACACGCAAGAGAAGAGATCGGCTGATGTGGTACAGAAAGATCAGCGGTGTCAAGATCAGCCTTTATGAAGGAGGCTCGTGAAAGATCCTCCTCGACAGATGGAGGATGTTGCCTTCTAGCAACGAGGGCAGAAGGAGCGACGCTCACAACAACGCGCGGAGCACCGGGTGGCTAAAGCACAGCAAGTTGGCAGAGCAGGGGGCACAGGTGGTGCATCGGCCATTCATCTCAGTCGGTCAACCCACTTGGGTGTCGTGTGACCTGCTAGCTCGCCTTCGACACTTGGCGTGTCCTCAAAGTGCACCTAGCCTGGCACAAGCGCGCCGTGGTGACGTCGCCGCCGCCACTCAGTGGCGAATGGCGGCGGTGGTTGTTGTTGTTGCACTGAGGAGGAGACCTTGCGGATGACGGGGTCATCGGTGGTGGTGACCGTGTGGAAGATTCTCTTGATGCTTTTCAGCGGCTTCTCGGAGCGCGTCGTGATGCGGTCAAACGCCTTGTCATAGTGCTCCAGCTCCCCCAGACACTCTCTACACAGACACACGCAGACACATACACACACAGGCCACTATTACAATCATACAGATAAAGACCTCCCCCCCGCCCCCATAGACTGTTGGGGCAAGTGCTGTTTGCGAGCACATATGAAGGCCGGCATGGCGCACGAGGGAGTGGGTTACAAGGACCACACCCGGCCGCCTTTGTCTCCCCAAGCGGCGATGCGTTTACACGCCGCACCAAGTACTCATTTTGTTCTTTCGGTAAAGTCACGTAGGTGAAAATGAAATAAAACTAACTAATCTTCTTGGCTCTTTCGGTAAAGTCACGTAGAATGGCTGCTTGCGTTGTGGCCGAAACGTCGTGAGAATAATTTTATTATGTTTTATTTAATTATTTTTATTACTTCCCTTCTACGTGACTTTACCGAAAGAACCAAGAAGATGAATCCCTGCAGTCACGAAAGCTTTAAATCGAAAAATAACTAAATCACGACGTTTCGGAGGCAACACAAGCTTCCGTCATCAGGTGGAACGACCACAGCAAAATAGTTTTTACTGTAGTGGGCAGAGAGAGCTGTACGTGGCAAGCCATTACATAGGGTAAGAGCCAGGGAGAAGGGATGCAGGGGCGGGGGGTGTGGAGTCGGGGGCGGGGGTTTAAGCTGTTGTAGCCCCGAGGTAATTAGGATATTATCATATTATCATATCATATTAATCACATTGAAAAAAAAATTGCTGTGGTTGTTCCACCTGATGACGGAAGCTTGCGTTGCCTACGAAACGTCGTGATTGAGTTATTTTTATTTTATTTCATACCTACGTGACTTTACCGAAAGAACCAAAGAGTATGGATCCTTGCAGTCACGAAAACTTCACATCTGGAAGCACTCATTTGAGGCCGAGTCAAACTTGGGGAGGCCCAGGACCGATTCAGATAATCGTCACTGGCATCGGCCGTGAGTGGGAATCCAACTCGGGTCGCCGGGTTCATAGCACACCGGACCAACCGCTACAAAGACAAAGAGCCCCCGTATAACCTTTAAATACCATTGGGGAAAGTGCTGTTAGCGAGCACCTATGAAGACCAGCAGGCCACACGAGTGGGTTGCCAGCACCACATTCATATTCACGCGATCTAACGCAAAAAAACCTATATTAGTGTTGTTTCTGTTGATACTACTGCTGATGATAGTGTTGATGATGACGATACCGCCGTTGTTGCTACAACCGTTTCTGCCGATACCGCTGCTGCTACCGACGACGATGACGCCGATTCTAATTGACGATTCTGCCGACGCTGTGGAGTAGAAGAGGCTCACATGTCAACGGGCTCAGCCACATCCACGTATCTCATCTTCATGAGTCGCGGGAAATCCATCTCCTCCTTGACGTCCCAGTCGCTGCGGACCTCTACGGAGGAGTCGCGTGGCTTCTGCTGCTCACACGTGCGCAGAGACGCGGACGAGGGGATGCAGGCAGAGAAACGCATGAGCAGAGCCAGAGACATGTACAGAAACACACGCCGCGATAAGGCACGACAAGCGAGAAGCACACACACGGATACAGACAGAGATAAACACATCAGGATGTAGAGACACACACAGGGATGTACAGAGACAGATCTACATAGAGATACACATACACATGTACCAGAGATGTAAAGTATACAACGAGAAACACAGGGATGTAGAAAACAGAGATACAAAGGACACACACACACAGATAAACACATTCAGATATACACACAGAGCACACACACTGAGATACACCACAAAGACACACTCCCCGTACAGCCTTTTAACAGACTGCTGAGGCAAAGTGCTGTTAGCGAGTAGCACCTATCAAGGCCGGCACTGCACGCAGGGGGGGTGGGTAGGTGGGCCAGCACCACACAAAGACAAAGATCCCCCGTGTAGCCTTAACAGACTGTAGGGGCAAGTGCTGTTAGCGAGCACCTATGAAGGCCAGAATGGTATATGAGGGGGTGGGTGGCCAGCACCACGCCCGACCGCCTTTGTCTCCCCAGTGGCGATGTTTACACACAGCACCAGGTACTCATTTGAGGCCGAGTCGACCTAGGAGAGGCCCAGGACCTGTTCAGATAATCGTCACCGGTGTTGGCCGTGAGCGGGAATCGAACTCGGGTCACCGGGTTCATAGCGCAGCGTAGCGAAAACCGCTACACCCACCGCTCCCCACAGCACAACACAAACAACAACAACAACGACAACAACTTTGATGGTCTCACCTGCCCCTTCTGATCCCATCTTTGTCTCCCTCCAAACTGCTTCTGCAGTTTCTGAATCCTTTGCCGGTCTCTAACAACCGCACACACATACACGCCACGCACACACACGCCACGCACACACATACACGCCACGCATACGCACACACATACACGCCACGCACACACATACACGCCACGCACACACACACACGCCACGCACACACACACACGCCACGCACACACACACACGCCACGCACACACACGCCACGCACACACACCACGCACACACGCCACGCACACACACACACGGGCACACACACCCACGGCACAGCACACACACTACACGCACAGCACACACCACGCCACGACACACACACCACGCACACACGACACGCCACACACACTACACGCCACGCACACACACACACGCACACACACGCCACGCACACACACACACGCACGCACACACCACATCACGCACACACACACACGCCCACGCACACACACACACGCCACGCACACACACAGCACGCACCACACACACGAACCACGGCCACGCACCACAGCACACACACGCCACGCACACACACACACGCCACGCACACGACACCCACGCCACTACACACAACACCACGCACACACACAAGCCACGCACACACACACACGCCACGCACACAGCACACACGCACGCACACACACGCACAGCACCAACACACGCCACGCCACACCACGCCACGCCACACACACACACGCCACGCACAACACATCGCCACGCACACACACACGCCACGCACACACACGCCACGCACACACACACACCACGCCACACACACACGCCACGCACACACACAACGCCCGCACACACCACCGCCCACGCACACACACACGCCCACGCACACACGCCAGCACACACACACACGCCACGCACCAACATACACGCCACGCACACACATACACGCCACGCACACACGCCACGCAACACACATACACGCACGCACACACACACACACACGCCACGCACACACACACACGCCACGCACACACACGCGCCACGCACACACCACACGCCACGCACATCACCACACACACACGCCACGCACACACACACGCCACCACACACACACACGCCACGCACACACACGCCACGCACACACACACCGCCACGCACACACACGCCACGCACACCACACACACACACACGCACACAACACGCCACGCACACACACACGCCCGCACAACGCACACACACACACGCCACGCACACACCCCACGCCACAGCACACAACACCACGCAACACACACACGCCACGCATAACACACGACACGCCACCGCACACACACACACACGCCACGCACCACACACACGCACACAGCACACACGCCACGCACACACACACACACGCCACGCACACACACACGCCACGCACACACACACGCCACGCACACACACACACGCCACGCACACACATACACGCCACGCACACACATACACGCCACGCACACACATACACGCCACGCACACACACACACGCCACGCACACACACGCGCCACGCACACACATACACGCCACGCACACACACGCCACGCACACACACACGCCACGCACACACACACGCCACGCACACACACACACGCCACGCACACACACCACGCACACACACACACGCCACGCAAACACACACACGCCACGCACACACACACGCCACGCACACACACACGCACACACACACGCCACGCACACACACACACGCCACGCACACACGCCACGCACACACACACGCCACGCACACACACACACGCCACGCACACACACACACGCACACACACACACGCCACGCACACACATACACGCCACGCACACACATACACGCACGCACACATACACGCCACGCACACAACACACGCCACGCACACACACACACGCCACGCACACACACACACGCCACGCACACACACACACGCCACGCACACACACGCCACGCAAACACACACACGCCACGCACACACGCCACGCACACACACACGCCACGCACACGCCACGCACACACACACACCACGCCACGCACACACACACACGCCACGCACACACGCCACGCACACACACACGCCACACCACACACGCCACGCACACACACACACGCCACGCACACACACACACGCCACGCACACACACACACGCCACGCACACACACACACGCCACGCACACACATACACGCCACGCACACACACACACGCCACGCACACACACCACGCACACACACACACGCCACGCACACACATACACGCCACGCACACACATACACGCCACGCACACACGCCACGCACACACACACACGCCACGCACACACACACACGCCACGCACACACACACACGCCACGCACACACACCACGCACACACACACACGCCACGCACACACATACACGCCACGCACACACACACGCCACGCACACACATACACGCCACACACACCACACACACGCACACACACACACGCCACGCACACACCACGCACACACACCACGCACACACCACACACACGCACACACATACACGCACACACACACGCCACGCACACAGTCAACGACGAGTCCCGTGAAGGGCGACAAGCTGCGTCACGTGCAACAGAATGGCCACCGGGCAACGACGACTCGTAACAAGGGCGGACCTCTCCTTCTGCTTGGCGCTCTTGGACAGGGTCTGCATGTTCAGCGCCTGCATCTGCAGCCTGCGCTCCTTCTCACGGCGCATGTTGCGTTGCTGCAGAGAGAGAGAGACACGCGCGCACACAACAGCGTGTTACGGTGGCGGTAGTGTTAAGCGTAGCGCTAGGGAGAAGCGTTCGAGGCAGGGATAGTGTTAGAGGTGCAAGGCTCATGTTGGGGCTAGAGGTAGTGGTATTTGTTGAAGGGCTAGCGTCAGGGCTAGTGGTAGGGGTTGTATTGAAGGTAATCGCAGAGTAAAAAGTAGTTGTGTTGGTCACAGGGCTAGAGGTGTTATGGGGAAGGGTATGCGTGTGTATGCAAACACGTGTGGATGCGTATACGTACACACACGTATCAGTTTAAGACGTAGGCTTTCGTAAATGTTGTAGTGTGTTTACTCTAGAACACATCGGGGTGCCGAGCTAGTAACGAATTCGCAAGTTTCGGTTTACGTGACAAACCTCACTAATTGACTGTGTTGGGTTGTGGCGGGTTTAACGACACATTTGTATTTACGCAATCTAACCCCTCCCCCCCAAAAAAACGCTATGGATACAAATCTATGTACGTAGACAAACCCGTCAACCCCTTATCAGTGCCCTACCTTCTGTGACAAACCTTTCTTCCCGACAGACCTGTTCTTCACCTGAGGACGGCTGCTTGCGTTGTGGCCGAAACGTCGTGAGAATTGTATTTTATTAAGTTTTATTTTTATTATTTTATTATTTCCCTTCTACGTGACTTCACCGAAAGAACCAAGAAGATGAATCCCTGCAGTCACGAAAGCTTTACATAGAAATTTAGTGCCCTACCTTATTACGGACAAATTCAGACCTCACTGGTCACCCCGTGCTCCTCATAAATCTCAACGTTCATCCTACAAAGTCACATGACAAACGGCTGCACGCCATGTGGACCTGAAAACTAAATTTCCCTGTACAAGAATACGGCTAAACCGTATGGGTTGACAGCTATGCATAGATGTGTGTATACATACACACTTGTGTGTCTACGTTTTAAGTTTCATTTATTAAAGGTGTTGCCCTGTGAGCCATGCGGCTCTTGAGTCGGGTGCAACCGCAACAAACAAAATGTGAGCGGAGAACATCTTAAAGCGACGACGCACGACAGAAACATCCTGGGATAAACCAGCAAATCTTCCAAAAAAAAAAACCCGCCGTATTACAACGCTGTGTGCAAAAATCCCAGTGTGATGCAAGTCAAACAATAACAACCGTAATACAATTTAGATTAATTCTAGATTTGAAGTTTTCGTGACTGCAAGGATTTATATTCTTTGGTTCTTTCGGTAAAGTCACGTAGGTGAAAAAAAATATTTAACCATAATACAATATAGATTACCCACATGTTTTCTAAATCACCAAAATAACGCTATAAAAACAATGTAGCGACAGTAACCATGGGAACAGGTGCGCGTGTGTCTGCACAACACCTGAGTGAATTTCATGCGGTTCTTCTGGAAGATGGATTTCTGCACGCGGGTGGTGTCCACCAGCTGGAAGCTGCCCTCATCCTCCTCGTGGAAGTACGCGTACTGACTACCCCCGCCAAACTGGGACGAATACTTGTCTACTCGCACACACGCAGACACACACACAGATGTACTACCACATACACACACACTGACATATTACAAGTCATACACACACACAGATGTACTACCACATACACACACACTGACATATTACAAGTCATACACACACACAGATGTACTACCACATACACACACACTGACATATTACAAGTCATACACACACACAGATGTACTACCACATACACACACACTGACATATTACAAGTCATACACACACACAGATGTACTACCACATACACACACACCGACATATTACAAGTCATACACACACACAGATGTACTACCACAAACACACACTGACATATTACAAGTCATACACACACACAGATGTACTACCACAAACACACACCGACATATTACAAGTCATACACACACACAGATGTACTACCACATACACACACACCGACATATTACAAGTCATACACACACACAGATGTACTACCACATACACACACACTGACATATTACAAGTCATACACACACACAGATGTACTACCACACACACACACTGACATATTACAAGTCATACACACACACAGATGTACTACCACATACACACACACTGACATATTACAAGTCATACACACACACAGATGTACTACCACATACACACACACTGACATATTACAAGTCATACACACACACAGATGTACTACCACATACACACACACCGACCAATTACAAGTCATACACACACACAGATGTACTACCACATACACACACACTGACATATTACAAGTCATACACACACACAGATGTACTACCACATACACACACACTGACATATTACAAGTCATACACACACATAGATGTACTACCACATACACACACACCGACATATTACAAGTCATACACACACACAGATGTACTACCACATACACACACACCGACATATTACAAGTCATACACACACACAGATGTACTACCACATACACACACACTGACATATTACAAGTCATACACACACACAGATGTACTACCACATACACACACACTGACATATTACAAGTCATACACACACACAGATGTACTACCACATACACACACACCGACATATTACAAGTCATACACATCTTCTCGGTAAAGTCACGACGTTTCGGCCACAACGCAAGCAGCCGTCCTCAGGTGAAGAATGAGGACGGCTGCTTGCGTTGTGGCCGAAACGTCGTGAGAATTGTATTTTATTATGTTTTATTTTTATTATTTTATTATTTCCATTCTACGTGACTTTACCGAAAGAACCAAGAAGATGAATCCCTGCAGTCACGAAAGCTTTAAATCGAAATTTAAGACACACACACACAGCAGTCATCTTGCACGCATGAATTATGACCATCCACGCAAAAAACTGCGATGAGTAATTACGTACAACAGCACTCCCGATTATCCGCGCTAATGACGGTGAAGACGGCCGCGGATTATTCCAAATCGCGGATAATCCAAATTCATGAACATTTTCCGCCGGATCTGTGCCAAAATCCACGAACATCGGTAAAGTTTCGATTGAGAACGAATATGACCAACCGATCGACGTGCGTGCTCAGTGATAACACTTTCAGAGCCACGCCAATCAACAGCAATCAAACTCCGCCCACTGTCGTAAAGATATGGCAACTACTGTACTGTAGAGGCGATCACGTAGAATTCGGGTTAACCAGAGAAACATATTTCTTCCGTTTAAGCACGCGACTTGAAATAAACATTTCCAACAATAACGATGTATAACGGCTTTAAGATAATTAATTTGGGCTTAAGGGAAAATCCATGAGTTGTTAATGTCAAAATCTCAGGTGCACAATTAATTCCCAAAGCAGATAAACCGCATGCGAATAATGGAGTCTACTGTATATATATATATATTTTTTAAATAAAATTGCTGAGCCTCAGACAGAAAACGACCAGCAACAAACAGCACTATCAAGTTGTAATCGTTGAGTGTTGACACTTTTCTTGAATTGAGCAAAGTCACACGTGTGGAATAGTGTGAGTAAATTAAGCAGAAACGATAAGTGTTTGTGACCTACAGCGTAGCAAGTAAGTTCGTGAGTAAATGTGATTGAAAGTCTTTGTGCGAGTGGATGAGTGAGTCCCTGCAGTGTGGTGAATGACGCTGAAACGACAAGTGTTGTGACCTACAGCGTAGCAAGTAAGTTCGTGAGTTAATGTGTGATTGAACGTCTTTGTGCGAGTGGATGAGTGAGTCCCTGCAGTGTGGTGAATGACGCTGAAACGACAAGTGTTGTGACCTACAGCGTAGCAAGTAAGTTCGTGAGTTAATGTGTGATTGAACGTCTTTGTGCGAGTGGATGAGTGAGTCCCTGCAGTGTGGTGAATGACGCTGAAACGACAAGTGTTGTGACCTGCAGTGTGGCGAGTAAGTTCGTGAGTAAATGTGATTGAAAGTCTTTGTGGAAGTGGTTGAGTGAGCCCTGCAGTGTGGTAAATGACGTAAAAACGACAAGTGTTGTGACCTACAGTGTAGCGAGTAAGTTCGGGAGTAAATGTTTTTTTACAAAGCACTAATGAAATCGGTTAAAAGAAAAAAAACAATCGTGAATGTTTTTTATTCATTTAACCCCCCCACAATTTGTGAGTAAATGTGATATTTCGACCGAGTTAATGGCACGCACTTGTGTAGCGCTTGTCCTGGTACGTGGATCCGGTCCAATCGGCAACCTGCAACAAAATGACAATCAAGATGAGGGAGTTCATAGTAGCCGGGGTCAGAGGTGCTGAGCCATTACCGCTTAGCTCAGGGGTTGAGGGTTTAAACAATGGATCAGGGCGTCTCTCTCTCTCTCTCTGGGGTTCATAATGGCCAAGTTGGAGAGACTGAACCATCACTGCTGAGATGCTGGGTTCAGGGTTCAACCCCTGGGTGTGGGCGTCTCCCTCTCTCAAGGGATTCATAATCACCATGTTAAAGACACTCAACTATCACCGCTGAGATGCTGGATTGAGGGTTCAACCCTGGGTGTGGGTGTCTCCCTCCCTCCCTCTCAATGGATTCTTAATGGCCAAGTTGGAGACGCTGAACCATCACTGCTGAGTTCCTATGTTGAGGGTTCAAACCCTGTGTGTGGGTGTCTCTCTCTCTCTCCCTCAAGGGATTCATAATGGCCAAGTTGGAGACACTCAACTATCACCGCTGAGATCCTGGGTTGAGGGTTCAACCCCTGGGTGTAGGCGTCTCTCTCTCAAGGGATTCTTAATGGCCATGTTGTAGACGCTGAACCATCACTGCTGAGTTCCTGTGTTGAGGGTTCAACCCCTGGGTGTGGGTGTCTCTCTCTCAAGGGATTCATAATCGCCAAGTTGTAGACACTGAACCATCACTGCTGAGATGCTGGGTTGAGGGTTCAATCCCTGGGTGTGGGTGTCTCTCTCCCTCTCTCTGGGATTCATAATGGCCAAGTTGGAGACGCTGAACCATCACTGCTGAGATGCTGAGTTAAGGGTTCAACCCCTGGGTGTGGGTGTCTCTCTCTCCCTCCCTCAAGGGATTCATGATGGCCAAGTTGGAGAGACTGAACCATCACTGCTGAGATGCTGGGTTGAGGGTTCAACCCCTGGGTGTGTCTCTCTCTCCCTCTCTCAGGGGATTCTTAATGGCCAAGTTGGAGACGCTGAACCATCGCTGCTGAGTTCCTGTGTTGAGGGTTCAACCCCTGTGTCTGGGTGTCTCTCCCACTCTCATGGGGTTCATAATGGCCAAGTTGGAGATGCTGAATCACCACTGCTGAGATGCTGGGTTGAGGGTTCAACCCCTGGGTGTGGGTGTCTCTCTCTCCCTCCCTCAAGGGATTCATGATGGCCAAGTTGGAGAGACTGAACCATCACTGCTGAGATGCTGGGTTGAGGGTTCAAGCCCTGGGTGTCTCTCTCTCTCAAGGGATTCATAATGGCCAAGTTGTAGACACTGAACCATCGCTGCTGAGTTCCTGTGTTGAGGGTTCAACCCCTGTGTCTGGGTGTCTCTCCCACTCTCATGGGGTTCATAATGGCCAAGTTGGAGATGCTGAATCACCACTGCTGAGATGCTGGGTTGAGGGTTCAACCCCTGGGTGTGGGTGTCTCTCTCTCCCTCCCTCAAGGGATTCATGATGGCCAAGTTGGAGAGACTGAACCATCACTGCTGAGATGCTGGGTTGAGGGTTCAAGCCCTGGGTGTGGGTGTCTCTCTCTCTCAAGGGATTCATAATGGCCAAGTTGTAGACACTGAACCATCACTGCTGAGATGCTGAGTTGAGGGTTCAACCCCTGGGTGTAGGCGTCTCTCTCCCTCTCTCAAGGGATTCTTAATCGCCAAGTTGTAGACGCTGAACCATCACTGTTGAGATCCTGTGTTGAGGGTTCAACCCCTGGGTGTGGGTGTCTCTCTCTCAAGGGATTCTTAATGGCCATGTTGTAGACACTGAACCATCACTGCTGAGTTCCTGTGTTGAGGGTTCAACCCCTGGGTGTGGGTGTCTCTCTCCCACTCTCATGGGGTTCATAATCGCCAAGTTGGAGACGCTGAACCATCACCGCTGAGATGTTGGGGTCAAGGTTTGAGTCCAAGACGTGGCTGCAACTCACAGGAGATGAATTCTGGCCACGTGAGGGACACGGAGTAAGCGATTCAAACGAGTGCGTGCAACGGGACAACGCGCAGTTCAACGAATCGTGAACTTTAAGACGATTGAAGTCGTGTTAACAGCGGAATGTGACATAATAAGCCGTGACTTGTGAGCGCACGTGAGCCTGCGGCCTGCTGAGATAGGCTTACGCAATAATCTCCAACGATGTATCGAACAAACTATTAGACGCTTCCAAGCAACCGCTCACCGCCCCCACAAACCCCGGCACGTAATATTACACAACTAATCGTTCGCAAGTTAAAATTTTAACTTGCGGACGATTATTTATTTAAATTAAAAAAATTAAAACTTTCGTTTTTGAGGCCTGGTCATTGTACGAGTAGCCTGCGCTAACCTAACCAACCCCGGCGGCCTACCCAAACGCGTTGCAACGAACCCACAAAAACAACAACAAAGAAACACCGAACAATTAGCAGAACTCAATAACAACAAGGACTTCTCAACGCGTGTGCTGTATAATTGTTGTGCAATTCTCGCCTTGCCGAGGCGGTCGGCCTTGCTGAAGGGTTGGTAGGGCATGTCTTTAAACTGCTCTGGAATCGCACAGGGACCCCATCCGTTGTGGTTGTCCTGGATCAACGGCGCCACGAAGTGAGCCATGGCAGCAGCGGCAGCAGCCCCCGCGTCTCCTCGTCGCGAGAGTTTCTTGAGGGACGAGAGAAGAAAAATTCGCGATCGTGAAATTCGCTTTCGGGAAAAACCGCTCCCCTCACACACGCACCACGTTGCCTTGAAAGGAATCGGTGAGTCGATTCGCGAAACGATTCCGGGCCCGGGACGATTCCCATTGACCCCAAGCCAATAATAGGAGGAATCGAATGCAATTTTTAAAAATGCAGTTTCGATTCCTCTTGAACGCAACGGAGGAATCGAAATCTGTGCCCGATCCGGTTGAAACGATTCTGCGAGTGTATCGATTTTAAACGGACAATTATCGATCCCCCTTCGAGTTAAACGCGAAGAACGGACTTCCCCTCGATACTTACGAGGATAATTTATCGTTGACGATTCATAAAAAAGATTGCACGGTGGAGAATGGTGGGGGGGAAGTCATTTGTATCGATCCAAACACCCATTCATTCGACGGGAATCGTTAACGTAATTTTAATCGTCATCGATTACTGTAAATCGATACCGTTGACTGTGTGTCGGTTAACGTGTCCCGATTCGTGTAGGGAGCTTCAGCATTTACAATTATAGTGTATAGTGTAGTGTAGTAGTGTATAGTGTTGTGTAGTGTATAGTGTAGTGTATAGTGTAGTGTATAGTGGATTCTATAGTGTAGTGTATAGTAGTGTATAGTGTAGTGTATAGTGTAGTGTATAGTAGTGTATAGTGTAGTGTATAGCAGTGTATAGTGTAGTGTATAGTAGTGTGTAGTGTATAGTGTAGTGTATAGTAGTGTATAGTGTAGTGTATAGTGTAGTGTGTAGTGTATAGTGTAGTGTATAGTAGTGTAGTGTATAGTGTAGTGTATAGTAGTGTATAGTGTAGTGTATAGTGTAGTGTATAGTAGTGTATAGTGTAGTGTATAGTAGTGTATAGTGTAGTGTATAGTGTCGTGTATTGTGTAGTGTATAGTAGTGTATAGTGTAGTGTATAGTAGTGTATTGTGTAGTGTATAGTGTAGTGTGTAGTGTAGTGTATAGTGTAGTGTGTAGTGTAGTGTATAGTGTAGTGTATAGTAGTGTATAGTGTAGTGTATAGTGTAGTGTATAGTAGTGTATAGTGTAGTGTATAGTAGTGTATAGTGTAGTGTATAGTAGTGTATTGTGTAGTGTATAGTGTAGTGTATAGTAGTGTATAGTGTAGTGTATAGTGTAGTGTATAGTGTAGTGTATAGTGTCGTGTATTGTGTAGTGTATAGTAGTGTATTGTGTAGTGTATAGTGTAGTCTATAGTAGTGTATAATGTAGTGTATAGTGTAGTGTATAGTGTAGTGTACTAGTTCAGCACTCACCGCTGGTTGTGTTGGGAGAGTGAAGCCACTACAGCATTTACAATTATAGTGTAGTGTATAGTGTAGTGTATAGTAGTGTATAGTGTAGTGTATAGTAGTGTATAGTGTAGTGTATAGTGTAGTGTATAGTGTAGTGTACTAGTTCAGCACTCACCGCTGGTTGTGTGTTGGGAGAGTGAAGCCACTACATCATTTACAACTGATCCTCATGGCGGAACCCCGGGGCACCAAATAATACAAAATGGCCGAGGCAATTAGATTTTCTATTTCAGGGCCACTATTGTTTCCAGGGGTGTAACTTCACTCTGCGACTGGGGCACCAATCAATCCGAAATCCGTGCTACTTCGCGATGTCGAAACGCAGCGAGGACGATTACGCCGAAACCCTGAACGCTCGTGTAGCGTCTTGTTAAATCACTCACACCGACACGTCGTAACGAGTCACCTGCTTTCACTTCATTCACCTGTTCTAGCGCCAGTTGTAGGCACTCCTTTAACTATCTGTGCGGTCACAGACACTCGACTTCTCCCCGCTCTTATCTACTCTGCACCTCACTTATCTTGCTCTCAGCGTCTCCGCACTCAGCCACTCCGCACCCAGCATCTTCACACTCAGCCACTCCGCACACAGCGTCTTCACACACAGCGACTCTGCACACAGCCACTCCGCACACAGCGTCTTCGCACACAGCGTCTTCGCACACAGCGTCTTCGCACACAGCAACTCTGCACTCAGCCACTCCGCACACAGCGTCTTCGCACCCAGCATCTTCGCACACAGCAACTCCGCACACAGCGGCTTCGCACACAGCAACTCCGCACTCAGCCACTCCGCACACAGCGTCTTCGCACACAGCGTCTTCGCACTCAGCGACTCTGCACACAGCGGCTCCGCACACAGCGTCTTCGCACAGAGCGTCTTCGCACACAGCGTCTTCGCACACAGCAGCTCCGCACACAGCGTCTCCGCACACAGCGTCTTCGCACTCAGCGACTCTGCACACAGCAGCTCCGCACACAGCGTCTTCGCACACAGCGTCTTCGCACTCAGCGACTCTGCACACAGCAACTCTGCACACAGCAACTCCGCACACAGCAACTCCGCATCTCCACCGCTGCCCTCAGCTACGCTCCCTCAGACCGGCTCGCCCGTTTGTCCCGGGCGGGGGGTTCAGCCAACACCCGCCCGGCGACGGCGTGAGGGTCGAGGTCCCGTTGACGGCTACAGCGGCAGCGGCGAGACGTCTTCACTCTTCGTCCCCGGTAACAACAACTCCCGATTTGAAGCTTTCGTGACTGCAAGGATTCATACTCTTAGGTTTTTTCGGTAAAGTCACGTAGGTAAAATTAGCTGCGACGGTCCCACCTGAAGACGGAGACTTGTGTTGCCTCCGAAACGTCGTGATTGAATTGATTTATTTTCATTTATTATTTTATTTTTATTATCTTTTTACCTACGTGACTTTACCAAAAAAACCTAAGAGTAACAACTCCCGACTCTCGCCACCAGCCCCACGCCTGTTGCCCCATTAATCCATCATCACCCCCCATCTCTCACCACCGCTCACAGCGCAGCCACCTGTTCGACCTCGATTGCACCCGCTTCTCACCTTCATTACTGGCGGTTTTTCGGCGCAAACCTCGTGGTGCAACGCACAACTCTGTTCGACCTCAGTTGCATCCGCCTAATAGCGCGCACCGCGTGTATCTCTCCTCGACACTCGTACGCACCGTGGTGGTGCATCGTGAGTACAGCTCGTCCAGACGAGTCGATCGCCGCATCACCGACCATCGACAGACTAAAAGTGACTGCATCACGGACATTGTGCGAGAGCCGGGGTTCTATGATACCCCGGGGTACTGTCATGAGGTTCAATTGTAGTGTATAGTGTAGTGTATAGTAGTGTATAGTGTAGTGTATAGTGTAGTTTATAGTATTAAATAGTGTAGTGTATAGTGTAGTTTATAGTATTAAATAGTGTAGTTTATAGTATAGTGTATAGTGTAGTTTAAAGTGTAGTGTATAGTCATGTATAGTCTAGTTTATAGTATTAAATAGTGTAGTGTATAGTGTACAGTGTAGTGTACAGTGTAGTGTATAGTGTAGTCTATAGTAGTGTATAGTGTAGTGTATAGTGTAGTGTATAGTAGTGTATAGTGTAGTGTATAGTAGTGTCTAGTGTAGTGTATAGTGTAGTGTATAGTAGTGTCTAGTGTAGTGTACTACCATGTGTCACTCAATCCCGTGTCACAGCGGTGGGGGTTTGCACGCCGATCAAACACAGGCACCTCGCTACGTCACTCATCGCTACGGGTCTCCGACAGCGCCGCCCACCTCTTCATGTGCGAGGGTGAAGGTGCAGCCCTGAAACTGCTCGCTCACGCCTTGGCTCAGCACAGGCATGGGGGGGAGGTAGAGGCCATTATGGGCGATTTAAATATAAACCAATGATGAGTGCCTGTGACCATTATCGTTTCAGTACTTAAATTTTATTGCTCCAAATTAATTTTAAAAAAGTTGCCCACACCGACATTCAGAACAATTTACCAAACTCCATATCGACACGCCAGGAGACCGGGTCTCGGCGTCTTGAGACTCGGCTCCAGGAGACCGGGTCTCGGCGTCTTGAGACTCGGCTCCAGGAGACCGGGTCTCAGGGTCTTGAGACTCGGCTCCAGGAGACCGGGTCTCGGCGTCTTGAGACTCGGCTCCAGGAGACCGGGTCTCGGCGTCTTGAGACTCGGCTCCAGGAGACCGGGTCTCAGGGTCTTGAGACTCGGCTCCAGGAGACCGGGTCTCAGGGTCTTGAGACTCGGCTCCAGGAGACCGGGTCTCGGCGTCTTGAGACTCGGCTCCAGGAGACCGGGTCTCAGGGTCTTGAGACTCGGCTCCAGGAGACCGGGTCTCAGGGTCTTGAGACTCGGCTCCAGGAGACCGGGTCTCGGCGTCTTGAGACTCGGCTCCAGGAGACCGGGTCTCAGGGTCTTGAGACTCGGCTCCAGGAGACCGGGTCTCGGCGTCTTGAGACTCGGCTCCAGGAGACCGGGTCTCAGGGTCTTGAGACTCGGCTCCAGGAGACCGGGTCTCAGGGTCTTGAGACTCGGCTCCAGGAGACCGGGTCTCAGGGTCTTGAGACTCGGCTCCAGGAGACCGGGTCTCAGGGTCTTGAGACTCGGCTCCAGGAGACCGGGTCTCAGGGTCTTGAGACTCGGCTCCAGGAGACCGGGTCTCAGGGTCTTGAGACTCGGCTCCAGGAGACCGGGTCTCGGCGTCTTGAGACTCGGCTCCAGGAGACCGGGTCTCAGGGTCTTGAGACTCGGCTCCAGGAGACCGGGTCTCAGGGTCTTGAGACTCGGCTCCAGGAGACCGGGTCTCAGGGTCTTGAGACTCGGCTCCAGGAGACCGGGTCTCAGGGTCTTGAGACTCGGCTCCAGGAGACCGGGTCTCAGGGTCTTGAGACTCGGCTCCAGGAGACCGGGTCTCAGGGTCTTGAGACTCGGCTCCAGGAGACCGGGTCTCAGGGTCTTGAGACTCGGCTCCAGGAGACCGGGTCTCAGGGTCTTGAGACTCGGCTCCAGGAGACCGGGTCTCAGGGTCTTGAGACTCGGCTCCAGGAGACCGGGTCTCAGGGTCTTGAGACTCGGCTCCAGGAGACCGGGTCTCAGGGTCTTGAGACTCGGCTCCAGGAGACCGGGTCTCAGGGTCTTGAGACTCGGCTCCAGGAGACCGGGTCTCAGGGTCTTGAGACTCGGCTCCAGGAGACCGGGTCTCAGGGTCTTGAGACTCGGCTCCAGGAGACCGGGTCTCAGGGTCTTGAGACTCGGCTCCAGGAGACCGGGTCTCAGGGTCTTGAGACTCGGCTCCAGGAGACCGGGTCTCAGGGTCTTGAGACTCGGCTCCAGGAGACCGGGTCTCAGGGTCTTGAGACTCGGCTCCAGGAGACCGGGTCTCAGGGTCTTGAGACTCGGCTCCAGGAGACCGGGTCTCAGGGTCTTGAGACTCGGCTCCAAGAGACCGGGTCTCAGGGTCTTGAGACTCGGCTCCAGGAGACCGGGTCTCAGGGTCTTGAGACTCGGGTCCAGGAGACCAGGTCTCAGCATCTTGAGACCGGGTCTCAGTGTCTTGAGACCGGGTCTCAGCGTCTTGAGACTCGGCTCCAGGAGACCGGGTCTCAGGGTCTTGTGACTCGGGTCCAGGAGACCGGGTCTCAGGATCTTGAGACTCGGCTCCAGGAGACCAGGTCTCAGCGTCTTGAGACCGGGTCTCAGTGTCTTGAGACCGGGTCTCAGCGTCTTGAGACTCGGCTCCAGGAGACCGGGTCTCAGGATCTTGAAACTCAGCTCCAGGAGACCAGGTCTCAGCGTCTTGAGACCGGGTCTCAGTGTCTTGAGACCGGGTCTCAGTGTCTTGAGACTCGGCTCCAGGAGACCGGGTCTCAGGATCTTGAAACTCAGCTCCAGGAGACCAGGTCTCAGCGTCTTGAGACCGGGTCTCAGTTTCTTGAGACTCGGCTCCAGGTTCCTGGATATCTAAGAGAATACATGGCTTTAAGACCTCACCATCGTCATCATTTTCTTCACAGCAAACTTAAAAACACAAAATATATTGGAAAGATCCCCAAGGCGATAAATTATAATGCCTCAATTTTATTTATATATGTATATGCATATATTACAATAACCGCCATTCATTTTAATATTCAAACAATTTCTACCTTGTGCCATCACCAGAGGCCAGGCTGAGATTTGTAACTCACAGGCAGCTGAAACGGGGACTGAAATCAAAGATCTCAGCCTGGGAAAGGGAGAGAGAGAAAGACTTACCTCTTGATCACTGCAATTGTCGTTAAAAAATTGTAAAACTGCCTAAAGGCAACGTCTAATGCTTGCCGTCAGGTGAGGGTCAGGGTTTGTACGATGGTGAATGTTACGGTTGGAGACGGGGGTTAGATGTGGGGTTGACGGTGCCACGGGTTTAAGCGAGGGTTAGGGTCAGAGTTAGGGGGTTTGATGGAGGTTATCGTTTGGGTTTGAGTCTGGGGTTAGGGATGGGGTTAGAGGTGGGGTGAGTTGTTAGCGCTAGGGGTATGATGAGATCAGAGTTAATGTCAGGTGTTGGGGTGATGTCGAGAGTTAATGTTAGATGAAGAGTGAATGTTTGGGTTAATGTTAAGTAACAACGTGTGGTTAGAGGGTGGGTTTGGGTGAGAGTTAATGTTAGGAGTCAGGGTTAGGGTTAGTTGTTGCAGCGATAGACATGTTTGAGTGCTATGGGTGGAGATCTGAGTTCGGTTTGCATTCGGGGATTGTTAGGGCGAGGTGATTGAGCTAGTTAGGTTCATGGGTTTAGGCTCGGGCTAGTTAGGGTTTGGGGTTTAGGCCAGGCCTCGGGGTAGCAGTAGGGTTACACTTCGGTGTAGCGGTAACAGTGCCAGTTAGAGGTTTAGGCTGAGGTTACAGTTACAGAGAGAGGTAAAGTGAAGGTTAAGGATAAAGTTAGGGCTAGGATAGGGCTAGGCTAGGCCTAGGCCTAGGCTATGGCTAGGTTATGGCTAGGTTAGGGCTAGGCTAGGGCTAGGCTAGGGCTAAGCTAGGGCTAGGGCTAGGCTAAGGCTAGAGCTAGGCTACTGCTAGGCTAGGGCTATGGCTAGGCTAGGGCTGGGCTAGGGCTAGGCCTGGGCTGGGCTAGGGCTGGGCTAGGGCTAGGCCTGGGCTGGGCTAGGGCTGGGCTAGGAATAAGGCTAGGCCTAGGGCTAGGCCTAGAGCTAGGCCTAGGGCTAGGCTAGGCTAGGGCTAGGTTATGGCTAGGTTAGGGCTAGGGCTAAGCTAGGGCTAGGCCTACGCTAGGGCTAGGCCTACGCTAGGGCTAGGGCTGGGCTAAGGCTAGAGCTAGGCTACCGCTAGGCTAGGGCTAGGCTAGGGCTAGGCTAGGCTAGGGCTAGGGCTGGGCTAGGGCTAGGCTAGGGCTAGGGCTAGGGCTGGGCTAGGGCTGGGCTAGGGCTAGGCTAGGGCTAGGGCTAGGCTAGGGCTAGGCTAGGGCTAGACTAGGGCTAGGCTAGGGCTACGGCTAGACTAGGGCTAGGCTAGGGCTAGGGCTAGGCTAGGGCTGGGCTAGGCTAGGGCTGGGCTAGGGCTCGGCTAGGCTAGGCCTACGGCTAGGCTAGGGCTGGGCTAGGGCTAGGCTAGGGCTAGGCTAGGGCTAGGCTAGGCTAGGCTAGGCCTACGGCTAGGCTAGGGCTAGGCCTAAGGCTAGGCTAGGGCTAGGCTAGGGCTAGGCCAGGCGAGGCTAGGGCGAGGCTAATGTCTAGTAGGTGAGTTTGGAGGCGCGCGCGTTGAAGCACGGCTTCTCGGCGAGCGAGTCTTGCGAGCCCACCACCGACAGCTCCCCCAGTTCGCCTCCCACGCCCCCACCCAGGACGAGCTCCAGCTCCTGGAAGTCGGCGAGGCGGGTCAGGTCCTTGTCCTGAGAGGCGGCGGCACACGGAGACACGGCGAGACGGACACGGGGAACGCATTCAGTCCATGGGTCCAATGTCAGCCGATGGGTCACCAGGCGCGTCTGTGGTTACTGTCGTGGTGACGGCATCTTTGTTAGTAGCGGTGGAAGAATGATGGGGAGGCGATTGACCGCTGGTGAGCGAGGGAACGGAGTGGATCGTTGAGTGCTGGACCACCATTCGCTCCGTTTAACACGCAGTAGGCTTAGATCGCGTGAATATATAAATGTGTCATTAAACCCGCCACCATCCAACACAGCCAACTAGTAAGGGGTTTGTCACGTGAGCAGAACATGCCAATTGTGTGTTGGAGAGGAAATCCACCACAACATTTACAATTCGAGTACGACGCTTCGCCAGGAATTACAACTCGCATCATCAGGCGACAGCCACGGAGATGTGGAGAAATCCTCCTCCTGTTTCGGTCTTAAATAGCGGTGGGTTTACTCTCCAACACACAGCCGGTGAGGTGCTGAACTAGTATACTACACTATACACTACACTGCTATACACTACACTATACACTACACTACTATGCACTACACTATACACTACACTACTATACACTACACTATACACTACACTATAATTGTAAATGTTGTAGTGGGTTTATTCTCCAACACACAACCGGTGTGTGCTGAACTAGTATACTACACTATACACTACACTCTACACTATACTCTACACTACACTATACACTACTATACACTGCACTATACACTACACTCTACACTACACTATACACTACACTCTACACTACACTATACACTACACCATACACAACACACTGCACTATACACTGCACTACACACTACACTACAATTGTAAATGTTGTAGTGGGTTTACTCTCCAACACACACCGGTTAGTGCTGAACTAGTAAGGAATTGGCCACGTATTGTCTCCGTGACAAACCCCTTAATAGTTGGCTGTGTCGGGTGGTGGCGGGTTTAACGAAACACATTTGTATTTACGCGATCGAACCCAACAAAACCTCATTATGCATCATTCACCTTGACCGTCTCCCCGGTGCAGCAGTGAGGTAGGCACTCGCCACTCCACCCTGGCTATGACAGCAGCAGAATTTTCCAACTGCGGGCAAATCCGCGCTGTGTACAGCAGCAGTGGTGATTGCTTTTGTAGCTACAGAGACTGTGGTACGGAGAGTAAAAGCAAGCTTCTTCAATAGCACGGTCATTCCCTAACCCGATTGTATCTGTGTGTGTGTGTGTTCCATGCCTTGTGGGGGAGTGGTGGTGCAGTGGTTAGCGCGCTGCGTTTTAAACCCAACGACCTGGATTTCTGCACACGGACAACATTCGTGATAAATATCTGAACCGGTCCGGGGGCCTCTCCTAGGTCGACTCAGCCTCATATGAGTACCTGGTACAGTGTGTAAACATCGCCACTTGGAGAGACAAAGGCGGCCGGGCGTGGTGTTAGCCACCCACCCTCCAGTGTGCCGTGCCAATCTTCACAGGTGCTCGCGAACAGCACTTGCCCCGACAGTCTGTCCAGGCTATACGGGGGATCTTTGTCTTTGCCTTTAGGTAGCGGTAGTGTAGCGGTTAGCACTTCGCTGCGCTACGATCCCGGCGACCCGAGTTCGATTCCCGCTCACGGCCAACACCGACGACTATTACCTGAACCGGTCCTGGGTCTCCCCCTATGTCGACTCAGCCTCAAATTCGTATCTGGTGCTGTGTAGTAAACATCGCGTGGTGCTGGCCACCCACCCCCTCGTGCGCCGTGGAGGCATTCATAGGTGCTGCTCGCTAACAGCACCAGCCCCTACAGACTGTTACAGGCTACGCAAGCGAACGTTTGAACTGTGTGTCTGAGCGCATATGCATGTGTGTGCCAGTCATCTCAGTCAGCCAACCCATGGCACCTGCAGGGTCTGTGCCGTGACCTCCTCCTGCACCTAGCCTGGCACAGTAGGGGGTACAGCTGGTGGTGCATCTACCAGTCATCTCAGTCAGCCAACCCATGGCACCTGCTGGGTCTGTCCCGTGACCTCCTGTCGGCGAGCCTTCCACACTTCACGTGGCCTCAAGGTGCACCTGGCCTGGCACAGGCGCCGTGGTGACGTCACCGCCACTTAGTGGCGAATGGCGGCTACTGGTGTAGTGCCTGGCAACGTCACTACTGGACACACACTCACACGACGTCATCCCGTCTGGAGGCAGGAATGACGCCAGGGCCGGGTTCAGGGATCCGGAGGCCGTGGGGGTGAGGCTACGGAGTGAACCCGGCTGGACACGTGACCGGATCAAGGTGGGGGGGGGGCCGGGGGCATCTTGGGGGGGGGGGCCCACGTGGACAGCCGAGCAGCTTGGAGGGGCGTCTCGAAGGGAGGCGTGGCCAGGGTGGGGCCCGGGACGCGCCGAGGCCGACATGAGCGGCCTCCTCACGGGCCTCCAGGCTGCCCGCGTCAAGAATGGAGACGCATCGCGAAGACGCCCTCCCAAGCAGAAGGAGAGTCAAGCCTCCAGTCGGCGCACCCGCCAGTAGCCCACGCTCACCGCGAGTCCGTGAGTCCGCGTTAGCGAGCGACGGTGTGCGCTAGTCGGAGCGGGTCGATGGTCAACACCCTCCGTTAAGTGTGTAGGGTGGTGTATAGTGATACAGTATGTAATTAAATGTTGGGTTTGTCTATGGCAGTATATAGTACGGGGTAAACCCGTGTGATGTAAGAGAATAAAGTTTAGCTGGAAGCATATTATATTTTTGCGACGTAGAATTGTAATGTATTACTTACTGTTAGTGGCTCGGCTTATTGGAGAGTATATTTAGTATACTGATGATACTATGTAGTTTATACTTTAGTTTTTTACGTGGTTGTTTAGTTACTGCAGCTACATACTATTCACATTCCTTCCCTTTGTTAATGCTACCCCTACCCCCTCCCTTTGATGCTGCTAATCCTGCATAATGCACGGGCATAATATGACTTGAAACCCCCCACCCACCTCCTACGCATTTCACAAGTAGTACTAATCGCATATCTGCATTTCCGATAAATATGCTAAATTCCTCTTGATATGCACATTTTTTTGTCAAGGCGCTCTTCTCCCTCCATCCCAGCTTAAATATACGCTGCCAAGCTTGGTGGTGTGTCATTCAGACTCTGTCTTCTCGACAGACCTGTTCTTCACCTGAGGACGGCTGCTTGCGTTGTGGCCGAAACGTCGTGAGAATTATTTTATTGTTTTATTTTTATTATTTTATTATTTCCCTTCTACGTGACTTTACCGAAAGAACCAAGAAGATGAATCCCTGCAGTCACGAAAGCTTTAAATCGAAAATTTATTATGTTTTATTTGTATAATTTTATTATGTTTTTTTATTTGATTATGTTTTATTTTTATTATTTTATAATGTTTTATTTTTATAATTTTATTATTTCCCTTCTACGTGACTTTACCGAGAGAACCAAGAAGATGAAGTGTCACGTGGTTGTGCGCGCCCATCCGAGCCCGTGACGCTGGTAGTTTGTGTCGTACCTTGCGCAGACGCGTGTTGGGCAGCTTGCGCACGCGCGTCACCTTGCCGGGATCCACCCCGAGCTCCAGGCTGCAGGTGCGCACCAGGGAGGCCATCGTGAGGCCCCGTCGGCTCAGCTCCACCTCCACAAAGTCCACGTCCACGGGCGCTGCCGTGCATCCCGGCTGGAGTCGCACTTTCACCACCAGCTCCTCTGCGCCGTCGCCAACGTCAACATCGTCATTGCCATCAACGTCGTTGTCATCATCATCACCACCTTAATTAAATGTACAAGCACTGAATTTCGATTTAAAGCTTCTTTCGTGACTGCAGGGATTCATCTTCTTGGTTCTTTCGGTAAAGTCACGTAAAAGGGAAGTAATAAAATAATAAAAATAAAACATAATAAAATAATTCTCACGACGTTTCGGCCACAACGCAAGCAGCCGTCCTCAGGTGAAGACCAGGGCTGTCGGGGAGACAGAGTCGTCGTCATCTTCGTCGCTATCACGCCATCATCATCGTCGTCACCGTCGCCGCTGTCACCGTGGTCACCGTGGTCACCGTGGTCACCGCGGTCACCGCGCTCACCGTGGTCACCGTGGTCACCGTGGTCACCGCTGTCACCGTGGTTACCTTGGTTGATGAGGGGGTAGGCCGTTGGGAAGAAGACGGGGTGGAAGGGAGCCGCCATGCCGTGCGGAGCGCCGTGCGGAGCGCCGTTGGTGACGGCAGCCGCCTCCGCAGCCCTCGCCTGCGGTGCCGTCACCCCGGCCTGCAGCAAAGACAAAGGTCCCCCGTGTAGCCTTAACAGACCGACGGGGAAAGTGCGTGGCCAACACCACGCCCGGCCGCCTTTGTCTACCCAGTGGCGACGCTAACACACCGCACCAGGTACTCATTTGAGGCCGAGTCGACCTAGGGGAGGCCCAGGACCGGTTCGGATAATCGTCACCGGTGTTGACCGTGAGCGGGAATCGAATTTGGGTGGCCGGGTTCGTAGCGCAGCGCGCTAACCGCTCCCGACATACACCAGAGACCACACACACACACCAACACCCGCCATTCGCCACGGAGTGACGGTGACGTCCCCATCGCACCCGTGCCACGTCAGGTGCACTTTGAGGCCACGCCAAGTGTAAACAACAACAACAGCAGCTGCCAGCACGCGGCGGTAACGTCACCGCGGTACTTGTGCCAGGCTATGTGCACTCTGAGGCCACGTGAAGTGTTGACAACTCGCTGGCAGGAGGTCACGGGACAGACCCTGCAGGTGCCACGGGTTGGCTGACTGAGATGACTGGCAGATGCACCACCAGCTGTATCCCCTGCTGTGCCAGGCTAGGTGCAGGAGGAGGTCACGGGACAGACCCTGCAGGTGCCATGGGTTGGCTGAGATGACCGGTAGATGCACCACCAGCTGTACCCCCTACTGTGCCAGGCTAGGTGCATGAGGTCACGGGACAGACCCAGCAGGTGCCACGTGTTGGCTGAGATGACTGGTAGATGCACCACCAGCTGTACCCCCTACTGTGCCAGGCTAGGTGCAGGAGGAGGTCACGGGACAGACCCAGCAGGTGCCATGGGTTGGCTGACTGAGATGACTGGTAGATGCACCACCAGCTGTACCCCCTACTGTGCCAGGCTAGGTGCAGGAGGTCACGGGACAGACCCAGCAGGTGCCATGGGTTAGCTGACTGAGATGACTGGTAGATGCACCACCAGCCGTACCCCCTACTGTGCCAACTCGCTGCATTGCAGCCGCTCCGCTCGTTGTTGTGAGCGTCGCTCCTCCGCCCTCCGTTGTTGCTGGAGGGCGACTGCCCCCAATTGACACACAACCACAACACACGCCACACACACACACACAACCACACACACGCCACACACACACACACACAACCACAACACACACACACACAACACACGCCACACACACACAACCACAACACACGCCACACACACACACACAACCACAACACACGCCGCACACACACACACACAACACACGCAACACACACACACAACCACACACACGCCACACACACACACACAACCACAACACACGCCACACACACACACACAACCACAACACACGCCGCACACACACACACACACAACCACAACACACACAACACACACACACACAACCACAACACACACACACACAACCACACACACACACACACAACCACAACACACGCCACACACACACACAACCACAACACACACACACAACCACAACACACACACACACAACCACAACACACGCCACACACACACACACAACCACAACCACACACACAACCACAACACACGCCACACACGTCACACACACACACACACACACAACACACACACACAACCACAACCACAACACACACACACACACAACGCACGTCGCACACACACACACAACGCACACACACACACAACGCACACACACACACAACGCACACACACACACACAACAACAACACACACCGCACACACACACACACAACCACAACACACACACACACACGGACCACCCGTCGTGTTGGCGGTCACCGTGACTCACGGGGAGAGCCGTGGGGTCGTCGTTGTCGTTGTTATTGGAGGAGGCGGACGAGCAGGCGGATGACGCGGAGTCCCGCGCGGAATCTCTCCGCATCTCCGCGTCCACCCTCCTCCCCGCGTCGCTCACGTAGCCCGGCACGGGGCTCTGCAGGTAGTTGGGGACGATGGGCAGCTCGCCCCCCACTGGCCCCGGCTCTCGGTGGCCGTTCTCCTCCACTGCGGCAAAGAAGATTCATTCTGGATTTGAAGCTTTCGTGACTGCAAGGATTCATACTCGTAGTTTTTTCGGTAAAGTCACGTAGGTAAAAAAAAAATGAAATTACAATTTATTTTAATGAAATTAAAATAAATTTTAATTTTTTGTTTAAAGAAATTAAAATTAATTTTAATTTCATTAAAAAAAAATTACTTTACCGAAAAAACTAAGTTTTTCGGTAAAGTCACGTAGATAAAAAAAAAGAAAAAAAAGGAAATGAAAATTAATTTATTTTTATTTATTTTTACCTACGTGACTTTACCGAAAAAACTAAGAGCATGAAAGAAGATTGACCCCCCCCCCCCCGCGCCTCTGTATGGTGGACCAATAACACTGGTCAACAACAAAAACATTTTTTCTGGCCTGGACTTTGCAGCTGTTCTAGACTACTTTCAGGGTGCCGATTCCAAATCTGATCTCAGATTTGCTCCATCACATCTCATTTTTATGCTATCGGCATACCTCATTTTCATTGATTTTACCCGACATTAACTCTGTCACTTATGATTGCAAGTTGTTGCGAGTCAGTGACTGCTTTAGTGTCAAAATATGGTGCTGTATTTTTAGGATAGTGTGTTTATAATATCATTTTATGCAGATATCGACATTTATTTAATATTTTTCTTCTGCAGTTTTTATTGAAAATGCAATATTTGATATCTCAAAAACCTGATGTGATAGACAAAAACGGATGCCAGATTTGGAATCAGCACCCCAAAATTACCTTAAAACCTTTGGAATACCTCATGCCAGAAAAAGTGTGCTGACCAGTGTAATCGCCCGACGGTTACCAGCGAAATGTCGCGCCCAATTGTTCGACGCGCGCGGATTGCCCTTCGGCACGTAGGAGAAGCAGTCGGCACGCGTTTGTTCCGCGTGATAACGACGACAGTGGGCATCGTGCCCATCTGTGGAGCTAGCGGACATCCGTGAACAAGGATCTTTAATGCTCATCGGATTCCTCCGGCACGAATAAATATTCAGATTTGACCCAAAAAAATTAACCCGTAAAAACAACGTTTTTCACTATAAATCCTTTATATGCGTGGCGGCTAGAGTCCTCTCGTCCTCTGGCTTGAGATGGCTGCCACCTATGGGTCAGATGATTGCCTGCCACCATTAAGCAATTGGTAATTAAATCTAATTAATTTTATCCTATTAAGTGTAAAATTTTGGGAAAAAAATTTCACGAAAATACATTGTCACGCACAACAAGTCTACGTGCAAAATGTCAGCTCGATCGGATCACGGGAAGTGGGTTAAAAAACGACCGAAAGATTTGCACGGTCGTAAGCAAGCAAGCACGCAAGTGAACTTAATATAAAGGATTTAAAAAATTAACCCATAAAAACAAAGTTTTTCACTATAAATCCTTTATATGCGTGGCGGCTAGAGTCCTCTCGTCCTCTGGCTTGAGATGGCTGCCACCTATGGGTCAGATGATTGCCTGCCACCATTAAGCAATTGGTAATTAAATATAAAAAAAAAATCCTAAAAAGTGTAAAATTTTGGAAATTTTTTCACGAAAATAAATTGTCACGCACAACGAGTCTGTGTGCAAAATGTCAGCTCGATTGGATCACGGGAAGTGGGTTAAAAAACGACCGAAAGATTTGCACGGTCGTAAGCAAGCAGGCAAGCAAGCAAGCAAGTGAACTTAATATAAAGGATTTAGAAAGAAGTAACTCTCGCGAATCGCAAAGATCGTGTGTATCCGCAGCAGTGTCGGGGCGAGCGCCGCGAGCGAGCGGTCCGGAGGCCAGCCCAGCCCACGAGGGGCGGCGTAGCCACCGACACGCCCGGCCACCTCTGTGTGGATGCGATGGCGCTCTCGGTGGCAGATTTGTGCCGGGAAGGCGCCCCCGTGCCAATCGGAATTCTCAATATTGTATAGTAGTGTGTAGTGTATAGTGTAGTGTATAGTGTAGTGTGTAGTGTAGTGTATAGTGTAGTGTATAGTGTAGTGTATAGTGTAGTGTGTAGTGTAGTGTGTAGTGTAGTGTATAGTGTAGTGTATAGTGTAGTGTATAGTGTAGTGTATAGTGGTGTAGTGTATAGTGTAGTGTATAGTGTAGTGTATAGTGTAGTGTATAGTGTAGTGTATAGTGTAGTGTATAGAGTAGTGTATAGTGTAGTGTATAGTGTAGTATAGAGTAGTGTATAGTGTAGTGTATAGTGTAGTGTATAGTGTAGTGTATAGTGGTGTAGTGTATAGTGTAGTGTATAGTGTAGTGTATAGTGTAGTGTATAGTGGTGTAGTGTATAGTGTAGTGTATAGTGTAGTGTATAGTAGTGTAGTGTATAGTAGTGTAGTGTATAGTGTAGTGTATAGTGTAGTGTATAGTGTAGTGTAGAGTAGTGTATAGTGTAGTATAGAGTAGTGTAGTGTATAGTGTAGTGTATAGTGTAGTATGTAGTAGTGTATAGTGTAGTGTATAGTGTAGTGTGTAGTGTAGTGTAGAGTAGTATATAGTGTAGTATAGAGTAGTGTAGTGTATAGTGTAGTGTATAGTGTAGTGTGTAGTAGTGTATAGTGTAGTGTATAGTGTAGTGTGTAGTGTAGTGTAGAGTAGTGTATAGTAGTGTAGTGTATAGTGTAGTGTAGAGTAGTGTAGTGTATAGTGTAGTGTAGAGTAGTGTAGTGTATAGTGTAGTGTAGAGTAGTGTAGTGTAGTAGTATATAGTGTAGTGTATAGTGTAGTGTATAGTGTAGTGTATAGTGTAGTATAGTGTAGTGTATAGTGTAGTGTATAGTGTAGTGTATAGTGTAGTATAGAGTAGTGTAGTGTATAGTGTATAGTGTAGTGTATAGTGTAGTATAGAGTAGTGTATAGTAGTGTAGTGTATAGTGTAGTGTATAGTGTAGTATAGAGTAGTGTATAGTAGTGTAGTGTATAGTGTAGTGTATAGTGTAGTATAGAGTAGTGTATAGTAGTGTAGTGTATAGTAGTGTAGTGTATAGTGTAGTGTATAGTGGTGTAGTGTATCGTGTAGTGTGTAGTAGTGTAGTGTGCAGTTGACAGTAGTTTATATTTATTGTGAACTTCTTTCGCACCGTACGGAACCAACCGCGCTCAATCGTAGGTGTTCAAGTTTTACACACACATGCACGCACGCACACACCGCACCGGATCGGCACGTGCGTGTGTGCATGCGTGTGTGTGTGCGTGTGTGCGTGTGTGCGTGCGTGTGTGTGCGTGCGTGCGTGTGCGTGCGTGTGCGTGCATGCGTGTGTGCGTGCGTGCGTGCGCGTGTGTGTGCGTGCGTGCGTGTGCGTGCGTGTGCGTGCATGCGTGTGTGCGTGCGTGTGTGTGCGCGCGTGTGTGTGCGTGCGTGTGTGTACACCTTGTGGGGAGTGGTAGTGTAGCGGTTAGCGCGCTGCGCTATGAACCTGGCGACCCGGGTTCGATTCCCGTTCACGGCTAACACCAGTGACGATTATCTGAACCGGTCCTGGGCCTCCCCTAGGTCGACTCAGCCTTAAATGAGTACCTGGTGCGGTGTGTAAACATCGCCACTGGGGAGACAAAGGCGGTCGGGCGTGGTGCTGGCCACCCACCCCCTCGTGTACCGTTCCGGCCTTCATAGGTGCTCGCTAACAGCACTTGCCCCTACAGTCTGTTAAGGCTATACGGGGGATCTTTGTCTTTTTGTGCGTGTGCGTGTGTGTGCGTGCGTGCGTGTGTGTGTGCGTGCGTGCTCGCCCTGCCCGGCTGTCGTCGTAACGACGCCGGCGCTGACCTCCGAGCAGCGAGAGGATTGCCGCGTTGCTGGTGAGCTGCTGCGGCTTCTCCCCCTTGGCGGTGAGCGCCTCCGCGTCGGCGCCCGACTCCAGCAGGAACGAGACGACGGAGGCTCGGCCTCGCTTGCACGCCCAGTGCAGCCCCGTCCTGCGTGCGCCCCGAGACCAACGCACGCACACAGCAACAGAGATCACACGTGTAGCCTTCACAGACCGCAGGGGCAAGCGCTGTTAGCGGGCGGCACCTGTGAAGGCCGGCACGGCACACGAGGGGGTGGGTGGCCAGCACCACGCCCGACCGGCTTTGTCTACTCCAGTGGCGATGTTTAATTCAAGGCTGAGTCGACCTAGGGGAGGCCCGGGACTGGTTCAAATAATCGTCAGACTCTGTCGCCTCGACGGACCTGGTTTTCACCTGAGGACGGCTGCTTGCGTTGTGGCCGAAACGTCGTGAGAATTATTTTATTATGTTTTATTTTTATTATTTTATTACTTCCCTTCTACGTGACTTTACCGAAAGAACCAAGAAGATGAATCGTCAAATAATTGTCACTGGTGTTGGCCGTGCGCGGGAATCAAACTCGCGCAGCGCGCTAACCGCTACACTACTGCTGCCCACGCACACGAACACACACATGCGCAACTACACACGTACACAACAACAACAACAACCGCCATTCGCCACTAAGTGGCGGTGACGTCACCACGATGCTTGTGCCAGGCCAAGTGCACCTTGAGGCCACGTGAAGTGTCGAAAGCCCGCTGGCAGGAGGTCACGGGGCAGACCCAGGTGCCACTGGTCGACTGACCGAGATGACCGAGATGACTGGCTGATGCACCACCTGTGCCCCCTACTGTGCCAACTTGCTGTGCTTTAGCCACCCGGCGCTCCGCTCGTTGTTGTGAGCGTCGCTCCTCCGCCCTCCGTTGTTGTTGGAGGGCGACTGCCTCCAACTGCCCAGTAGCGTCCTTCACGAGCCTCCTCCACTGAGGCCGATCTTGACACCGCTGGTACCAGTCATCGGCAAGTCCACTCAGCTCCACGTCCTCCTGTACCACATCACTCCATCTCTTCTCCAGCCCGTGCCGCGCCCGTCTAGCCCCCTCGATCCGGCCGAACAAAAGCTGTTTAGGCATGCGGTGGCTGGGCATGCGGGCTACATGACCCAGCCAACGCAGCCTTGCCTGCCGGAGGAGCTCACTGATGGGACTTTGCCCAGATCTTTCAAGGATTTGTGAGCTCCTCACACAATCCAGCCTGGTTAAACCCAGGATGGATCGTAGGCAGGCCAGCCTAAATGCTTCCAACCGGCGAAGATGCTCCACCAGGGGGGTCCACGTCTCGCAAGCGTAGAGAAGGGAGGGAATGACCGTGGCCGAGAAGACCTGAAGCTTCGTGCGGAGCGACAGACCAGGTAGCTTCCACACAGCGTTACGCAACCGATGAAAAGATATTGCCGCTCGACTGATTCGGAGTGAGACCTCTGCTGTATGGGAAACTCTCCACTCTCTCCACAACTGCCCCATCACCAATTGGGAGTTGTGGGGGTGGAGTGTCCGATGGTACAAAATACCCAGGCAGGTGCTTGGTTTTGGTGGGGCTGATGGTAAGGCCCCACCTCTTAGTGGCACGCTCCAGTCTCAGCAGCAGCGCCTCCAACTCCTCTTCTGAATGAGCAGCTATTACCAAATCATCGGCATACATAACGTGGTTGACCAATAGGGAGCCATCCCTTGATCGCACCCGGGCGTCGATCAGCCTCCCATTATATCTGTACCAAACGGAAATTCCCCCGGTACAGCTATTGAAGGCTTCACGAACTACGCGGTCAAAATAGATGTTAAATAATGTGGGAGCCAGAGGACATCCCTGTCGCACCCCAAGGTGTACAGGGAAAGGCTCCGACTCCCGGCCACGTAGTTTTACCCGGGCCCGCTCACCATCATGAAGGTCCTTAATGATCGTGAGCAGAGGGTCAGGGACTCCGAAAGCACGAAGAACAACCCAGAGTCCAGTCCTACTGATGGTATCATAGGCCTTGACCAGGTCAATAAAGCAGAGATGTAGGTCTTTTTGGAATTCCCTACACCTCTGCTGTAGCAGACGGACAGAAAATATGGCATCTGTGCAGGACCGCCCTTTCCTGAAACCGCATTGGGGCTCCGCAAGCCCCTCCTCAGCGTGCCTAGCAAGGCGATGTTGAATAATCCTTGCCAGGACCTTACCCGGCACACTGAGGAGTGAGATGCCCCTGTAGTTGTTACAGTCTGTGCGGTCCCCCTTCTTAAAGAGGGGGACCACCAGGGCATCCTTCCAGTCCTGCGGAACCCGTCCAGTGGTCCAGACTGTTGTTATGATGTCATATAGGGCAGTCTGTGCACAAACGCCACCCTCCCTCAGCATTTCGCTTGGGAGATCATCTCTGCCCGGTGCCTTCCCTGGTCTCAGACTCCGGATCGCCCTCAGTACTTCCTCAACAGCTGGAACCTCAGCCAGCCACTCACAGGGGGTGACCTCTTCCAATATTTGAGGCACCGCAGCCTCAGCAGGGTTATCCCCACTTTGTGCCATGATGTTTTCCTGGCTGAGAGAATTTCCCTCCCCCAGGACCTCACAGAAATGCTCAGAAAATCTGCAAACCTGTTCCTGGGGGTCAGAGATTGGATCACCGTTTTTTCCTCTAATGATGGTAATAGGTGTGGCGCTGCAGGTTACTTTTTTGATGGAGTTAAATAGTGATTTGTGATCACGGGCCACTGAGGCAGACTCCATCTCCTCAGCAACCCGCGACCACCACCCATCCTTACAACGCCTTACGGCTCTCCGAACTTCCGAGCGAAGGCTGCGGTAAACCTCCTCATTCTCTGACGTGGGATGCTGTAGGCGATGAGAGTGGGCCTGTCGCTTTTTCTCAATTAACCTGAACACCTCCTCTGTCAGCCAGGGTTTCTGGGGAGGTCTGGACCGCGTACCCAAAGCAGCCATTGCAGCTGCATGAGTCACAGTCTTAAACCTCGCCCATTTACCCTCGACATCAGGTGGAGTGGGGGACGATGCCAACCCCAGCTGCAAGCGATGATGAAATTCTCGCTTGCAACTTTCATCAGCTAACTGAGACCAGGCCACTTTTGGTTGGAATGGGATCCTGGGTGTACACCCACCACCGGAGTGGAAGAAAGGCAGGCGCATCTTACAGATGACTAGTCGATGGTCAGAGGACAGATCAGCTCCACGGTAGGTCCTGGTGTCAAGGACATGGGTTCGCATCCGCTGGTCCGTCACTATGTAGTCCAGCAGATGTTCTTGCTTGGACCCGGCATGTATCCATGATGTTGTGTGGATGCGCCGATGCCGGAAGAGCGTGTTGGTAATTACAAGCCCATGGGCTGCACAAAAATCTAGCAGCCTCCTACCGTTATTATTGAGCTGATCTGGCCCATGCCTTCCAATCACTCCAGACCAGGTGTCAGCATCATGACCAACTCGGGCATTGAAGTCACCCAACAAGATGACTCTGTCCCGAGTGGCCACTTTAGCCAGCACCTGTGACAGGAGGTCATAGAAAGCGTCTGACTCATCGGCTTTGCTTGCATCCCTCCACGGATGTTCGTCTTCGGTGGGGGCATAAGTAACCACGACCACCACTCCTCGCCTCTGGTTGATGGGAAGGCGAGCCCAAAGTATCCTGGGGCTTACAGCTTCCCACACCTCACCGCCACGCTCCCACGCCCCCTTCATTCTTTTGTTCAGAAGAAGAGCCACACCCTGTTGTTTGGCAGTCTCCTGCCCCGAGTAGAGGACTGTCCACCCCTCATGGTGGCAGGAGCCAGAACCGGTCCACCGGACCTCCTGAATGCCACAGAGATCCAGGCGGTACCGGTCCAGCTCCCGACAGAGGAGTGGCAGCCTCTCCTCCGCAGTGAGCGTTCGAACATTCCACGTGGCCATCCGCAATGGTTTTTTGTTGTTTCTGGAGGAGCCCCGAGGGTGAAAATTCAATCTCCTGGCTCCGCCAAATGGGGTTTGGCCAGGAGACGTCATAAAAGCCTGACCCCCCGGGGCCTCCGGCACAAGCTTATTTGTTACAGGTTTATGTTTAATTCGTGGTTTAGTGGTAATGAATTGAAGGTGGAGGGGTTACCAGCCCCTCACACCCGTCCAGAGCCCCCGTTTAGCCACTGTGGTGGTCACAGACGCCATGAGGGGAGAGGCCAATGGGCATTGGCCCTCCCCCCACAGCAATGTCCACGACAGTGTTGCCCGTCCGGCACCGCGAGGAGGTAGGAGGTTGTTTTGCCGGACGTACACACACACACGTACACACACACACGTACACACACACACGTACATACAAAGACAAAGATCCCCCATATAGCCTTAACAGACTGTAGGGGCAAGTGCTGTTAGCGAGCACCTATGAAGGCCGCAACGGCACACGAGGGGGTGGGTGGCCAGCACCACGCCCGACCGCCTTTGTCTCCCTAGTGGTGATGTTTACACACAGCACCAGGTACTCATTTGAGGCTGAGTCGACCTAGGAGAGGCCCAGGACCGGTTCAGATAATCGTCACCGGTGTTGGCCGTGAGCGGGAATCGAACTCGGGTTGCCGGGTTCATAGCGCAGCGTAGCGCAGCGTAGCGCTAACCGCTGCACCACCGCTCCCCACATCTGACCCCCGTCCCACCACTCACCACCCGTTGAGGTCGTTGGCCGAGTTGACGGCGACGCCCTCGTCCACGAGCCTCTTGACGAGCTCCACGTCCCCCAGGCACGCCGCCTCCCTGAGCAGCTCCTCCCGGTCGCGCTCGCTCGCCGCCTCTGCCCCTGCACGCGGCACGAATCGTCGTCAAATCGTCGTCAAATCGTCATCAAATCGTCGTCAAATCTTCGCGTCGCGCTCCACACGGCACACGTTCAGTCGCGCTTGCTCGCCCCGTCTCTCCTCCGCCTACACGAGGCACGAGACCGTAGGTGGACGTCGTGCGACGCTCCGCACGTACGGCGCGAAAGAGGTTCGACATGCGTACGTACAAGCACGGATCTGCCTTGTAACAAAGTTTGGAAATAATCCACGTCATAAATGAAATGAACTCAAACTCAAAATATCATTGGAACCTCCTTTGCCAGTAGCAAATTATGATAATTGTTTTTTTTACCCTTTTATCTGGCAACAAAATTGACACCTGTTTTTCTACAAGGAGTCATGTTTGCATTGACCACAATACCTGCGGTCGGAATGCAAACAAAAAACACAACTCTGATAATGTATGCACTGTCCTTGAAATTGATTGGTCCACACCCGAGACAGCTTTCCTTAGAGCCTAGTCTCCATTGGTGTTGGACCAGATGACGCCAAAAGGCGCACAACTCAAAGACAATGCACCATCAGAGTATGAGAGCTCGGGGTAAGCATTTACACCATTGGAACCTCCTTTGCCAGTAGCAAAATATGATAATTGTTTTTTTACCCTTTTATCTGGCAACAAAACTGACACCTGTTTTTTTTACAATGTGTCATGTTTGCATAGACCACAATACCTGCGGTCGGAATGCAAACAAAAAACACAACTCTGATAATGTATGCACTGTCCTTGAAGTTGATTGGTCCACACCCGAGACAGCTTTTCTTAGAGCCCAGTCTCACTTGGTGTTGGACCAGATGACGCCAAAAGGCGCATGAGATAACTTGCAGATGCACCACCTGTGCCAACTTGCTGCGTAGAAGTTCAAACACAAGTATGTGCGTGGAACTTCTTTCACACCGCACGTAGCCGACCGCGTGAGTTGGAGGTGCCAGGGGGGGCAGGACATCACGTGTCATGCCGTAACATCACATCCACCCACCTCGCCTCCTGCCCACGGTACAATGGAATACAGCTCCCTCGTGTGCCACACAGCCGCAGTTAAACATCGCAGATACTGCACGGGGTCTGCCAGGCCAACTGGTCAGGGTGGACACGTGATGGTCGACTATTCGACGGTCGAATGTGTCACTTTGTACCCGAGTGTACAATGATAAAGATCCCCCCCCCCCCCCCGTATAGCCTTAACACAATGTGGTGTACACACAAAGATCAAAGATCCCCCGTATAGCCTGAACAGACTGTAGGGGCAAGTGCTGTTAGCGAGCACCTATGAAGGCCGGAACGGTACACGAGGGGGTGGGTGGCCAGCACCACGCCCGACCGCCTTTGTCTCCCTAGTGGCGATGTTTACACACCGCACCAGGTACTCATTTAAGGCTGAGTCGACCTAGGGGAGGCCCAGGACCGGTTCAGATAATCGTCACTGGTGTTAGCCGTGAGCGGGAATCGAACCCGGGTCGCCAGGTTCATAGCGCAGCGCGCTAACCGCTACACTACCGCTCCCCACAAGGAGTACACACACACACACATAGACAGACAGTCTTAACACAATGTGGTGTACACACACACACACATAGACAGACAGTCTTAACACAATGTGGTGTACACACACACACACATAGACAGACAGTCTTAACACAATGTGGTGTACACACACACACACACATAGACAGACAGTCTTAACACAATGTGGCACACACACACACACACATAGACAGTCTTAACACAAAATAAATCACGACGTTTCGGGAGCAACACAAGCGTCCATCGCCAGGTGCGCGAGCATGGAACGTCGTGATCTACTTTATTTTATTTTCTACCCACGTGACTTTACCGAAAGCACCAAACAGTATGGATTCCTGCAGTCACGAAAGCTTCAAATCCAGACAGTCTTAGCACAGCGTACTTCACCTAGACACTTGTAGGGTACACGCTTGTACAGAGCTGCTGAGCAAAGACCCAACAAAGTGAAGCGGTCTGCCACAGCGCTGCCACAGCTGTTCTAGATGGAAGAGGCCAAGAGGTCACTTGAGTGACGTGGTTATGACGAGAGTTTTGGGGAAACGTGGCGCTGGGAGGTCAATCCCAAAGTGGAGCAGCGCGTGGAGCGAAGCTGAAAAGTGTGGTGACCCGCGCAGAGTTGGCGAGCGTGTGGGTCGAGCGGGTGAGTGAGTGGGTGGGTGAGTGAGTGGGTTGGTGAATAGGTGGGTGAGAGGGTGGGTTGGTGGGTGAGTGGGGTAATGTTTGGGTGAGTGAATAGGTGGGTGAGAGGGTGGGTGAGTGAGTGAGTGGATGAGTGTTTGGGTTGGTGAGTGGGTAGGTGAGTGAGTGGATGGGTGAGTGGGTTGGTGAGTGGGTTGGTGAGTGGGTTGGTGAATGGGTGGGTGAGAGGGTGGGTTGGTGGGTGAGTGGGGTAATGTTTGGGTGAGTGAATAGGTGGGTGAGTGGGTGGGTGAGTGAGTGGATGAGTGTTTGGGTTGGTGAGTGGGTAGGTGAGTGAGTGGATGGGTGAGTGAGTGGGTAAGTGGGTTGGTGAGTGGGTTGGTGAGTGGGTTGGTGAATGGGTGGGTGAGAGGGTGGGTTGGTGGGTGAGTGGGGGAATGGTTGGGTGAGTGAATATGTGAGTGAGTGGGTGGGTGAGTGAGTGGATGAGTGTTTGGGTTGGTGAGTGGGTAGGTGAGTGAGTGGATGGGAGAGTGAGTGGGTGAGTGGGTTGGTGAGCGGGTTGGTGAATGGGTGGGTGAGAGGGTGGGTTGGTGGGTGAGTGGGGGAATGGTTGGGTGAGTGAATAGGTGAGTGAGTGGGTGGGTGAGTAAATAGGTGAGTGCGTGGATGGGTGAGTGAGTGGGTGAGTGTTTGGGTTGGTGAGTGGGTGGGTGTGTGGGTGGATTGGTGGGTGGGTGAGTGGGTGGGTGAGTTGGTGGGTGGGTTGGTGGGTGGGTGGGCGAGTGATTTGGTGAGTGAGTGGGTGAGTGTTTGGGTTGGTGGGTGGGTGAGTGAATAGGTGAGTGGGTGAGTGAGTGGGTGAGTGAGTGGGTGAGTGAATAGGTGAATGGGTGAGTGAGTGGGTGGGTGAGTGGGTGAGTGAGTGGGTGAGTGAGTGTTTTTGTTGGTGGGTGGGTGGGTAAGCGGGCGAGTGATATGGTGAGTGAGTGGGTGGGTAAGTGGGTGAGTGAATAGGTGAATGGGTGAGTGAGTGGGTGGGTGAGTGGGTGAGTGAGTGGGTGAGTGAGTGGGTGAGTGTTTGGGTTGGTGGGTGGGTGAGTGAGTGAATAGGTGAGTGGGTGAGTGAGTGGGTGTTTGGGTTGGTGGGTGGGTGAGTGAATAGGTGAGTGGGTGAGTGAGTGGGTGGGTGGGTGAGTGAGTGGGTGAGTGTTTGGGTTGGTGGGTGGGTGAGTGAATAGGTGAGTGGGTGAGTGAGTGGGTGAGTGAGTGGGTGAGTGTTTGGGTTGGTGGGTGGGTGGGTGAGTGGGCGAGTGATATGGTGAGTGAGTGGGTGGGTGAGTGAGTGAATAGGTGAGTGAGTGAGTGGGTGAGTGAGTGGGTGAGTGAGTGGGTGAGTGTTTGGGTTGGTGGGTGGGTGAATGAATATGTGAGTGGGTGAGTGAGTGGGTGAGTGAGTGGGTGGGTGAGTGGGTGAGTGAGTGGGTGAGTGATTGGGTGAATGTTTGGGTTGGTGGGTGGGTGAGTGAATAGGTGAGTGGGTGAGTGAGTGGGTGGGTGAGTGGGTGAGTGAGTGGGTGAGTGAGTGGGTGAGTGAGTGTTTGGGTTGGTGGGTGGGTGGGTAAGTGGGCAAGTGATATGGTGAGTGAGTGGGTGGGTGAGTGAGTGAATAGGTGAGTGGGTGAGTGGGTGAGTGAGTGGGTGAGTGAGTGGGTGAGTGTTTGGGTAGGTGGGTGGGTGAGTGAATAGGTGAGTGGGTGAGTGAGTGGGTGAGTGAGTGGGTGAGTGAGTGAGTGTTTGGGTTGGTGAGTAAGTGGGTGAGTGAGTGGGTGAGTGAGTGTTTGGGTGGGTGAGTGAGTGGGTGAGTGAGTGGGTGAGTGAGTGTTTGGGTTGGTGGGTGGGTGAGTGAGTGGGCGAGTGATTTGGTGAGTGAGTGAGTGAGTGATTGGGTGAGTGGGTGAGTGAATAGGTGAGTGGGTGAGTGGGTGGGTGACTGAGTGAGTGAGTGTTTGGGTTGGTGAGTGGGTGGGTGAGTGTGTGGGTTGGTGGGTGGGTGAGTGGGTAAGTGGGCGAGTGATATGGTGAGTGAATGAGTGGGCGAGTGATTTGGTGAGTGAGTGGGCGAGTGATTTGGTGAGTGAGTGATTTGGTGAGTGAGTGGATGAGTAGCGAGTGGAGTGTGTTGTGACCTGCAGTGAAGTCGTGGACAGCGTGCAACAGTCAGCCTGGTCGACCAAGTCCTAAGCATGGGTGGTTGGATCGGTGAACGCGATTGTAGGCAACAGTAACCATGGTACAGGTGTGCACACACACACCTGAACAAACACGCACGGAAGCACGGGGCTATTACGATTCTCTCATAGCTCGTCTCAGCCAGCAGTGGATATTCCACATTCTCACGACGGGAACCAGTCCATCCGACACCAACAGTGGTGCTCGTTTTATCTAGCCCAGTGATATTGTTACTAATAAGTGACGATGACGATGATGAGGACGTTTCACTTTGCGGGAGCGACGTGGATGGTTACATCGCTATATACTAGACACAACTATACACTACACTATTATACACTACACTATACACTACTATACACTACACTATACACTACACTACTATACACCACACTACTACACTACTATACACTACACTACTAAAAACTACACTACTACACACTACACTATACACTACTATACACTATACACTACACTACTAAAAACTACACTACTATACACTACACTATACACTACATTACTATACACTACACTATACACTACTATACACTACACTACTATACACTACACTACTATACACCACACTACTACACACTACACTATACACTACTATACACTACGCTACTATACACTACACTACTACACACTACACTACTATACACTACACTATACACTACTATACACTACACTACTACACTATACACTACACTACTACACTATACACTTCACTACTATACACTACACTACTACACTATACACTACACTACTACACTATACACTACACTATACACTACACTACTATACACTACACTCTACACTACTATACACTACACTACTACACTACACTACTATACACTACACTACTATACACTACACTACTATACACTACACTACTATACACTACACTATACACTACACTACTATACACTACACTACACTATACACTACTATACACTACACTATACACTACACTACACTACTATACACTACACTACTATACACTACACTACACTATACACTACTATACACTACACTATACACTACACTACTATACACTACACTACTATACACCACACTACTATACACTACTAAAAACTACACTACTATACACTACACTATACACTACTATACACTACACTACTAAAAACTACACTACTATACACTACACTACTATACACTACACTACTAAAAACTACACTACTATACACTACACTATACACTACTATACACCACGCTACTAAAAACTACACTACTATACACTACACTATACACTACACTACTATACACTACTAAAAACTACACTACTATACACTACACTATACACTACACTATACACTACACTATACACTACTATACACTACATTACTATACACTACACTACTACACACTACTATACACTACACTACTATACACTACACTACTATACACTACACTACTATACACTACACTACTATACACTACACTACTACACACTACACTACTATACACTACACTATACACTACTATACACTACACTACTATACACTACACTACTACACTATACACTACACTACTATACACTACACTACTATACACTACACTCTACACTACTATACACTACACTACTATACACTACACTACTACACTATACACTACTATACACTACACTACTATACACTACACTACTATACACTACACTATACACTACACTACTATACACTAAACCAGGGGTCCTCAAACTACGGCCCGCGGGCCACATGCGGCCCGCCGAGGACATTTATCCGGCCCGCCGGGTGTTTTTTCCGCCGCTGCCTGTCTGTTACTTTTTTTTACATGAGAAGGACGGTCATTGGTGGAAGAGGGAGAGGGGGCGGAGTTTCCCCCAATCAGACTGCATTGATGGGCAGTGCAGTCCGTATGTCTCTGTGTGGGCAAAGTTATTGCTGGTAGATTGTTTTTGTAGCACTATATATATTGGTATTTTACTAATAGCAATTTTGACTCCCTAGGAAACAATGATGTCAAGAAAGAGAAAAATTGACTCGGAGTGTAGGATATTCAAATAACAGTGGACTTATGATTACTTTTTCATGCAGTACAAGGAAAGAGCTGTGTGTCTGATATGCCAGAATATAGTGTCTGTGTTCAAAGAATACAAATTACGTCGACACTATGAAACTCAACATAAAGATAAATATGATTGTTTGGTCGGAGAAGTGAGAAAAGATAAAATATTAAAACTGAAAAATACATTAACAACTCAGCGAAATAGTTTTGTGAAGCAGAAGCAGCTAAATATTTCATCACTGCGAGCAAGTTTTCAAGTTGCCAAGCTAATAGCGTGCACTGGCAGACCATTCGTGGAGGGAGAATTTGTTAAAGAATGCCTTCTTTCTGTTGCCAAAGAGATGTGTCCAGAGAAGGCCGATTTATTTAGTACAGTGAGTCTTTCAGGACCTACAATTACACGGAGGATTGAAGAAATGGGAGACAATTTGCATCAGCATTTGCAAAACTCCACAAAAAAACTTTCCTATTTTTCCTCGGCACTCGACGAAAGCAATAATGTTCGTGATTCTGCACAACTTCTAATTTTTATTCGTGGGACGAATGACTATTTCGAAGTCACATAAGAGCTTGCTGCACTGCAAAGCATCAAAGGAACATCTACAGGAGAGGATATCTTTCGATTTAAAGCTTTCGTGACTGCAGGGATTCATCTTCTTGGTTTTTTCGGTAAAGTCACATAGAAGGGAAATAACAAAATAATAAAACATAATAAAATAATTCTCACGACGTTTCGGCCACAACACAAGCAGCCGTCCTCAGGTGAAAACCAGGTCTGTCGGGGAGACAGCGTCTGAATGAAACAGCACACGAGCTTGGAGCATATATAAGCTGGGTTGGAAACGGGGGAAAGAGCGCCTTGACAAAATAATTTGCATATCAAGAGGAATTTAGCATATTTATGGGAAATGCAGGAATGTGATTAGTACTACATATGCCCGTGCTGCATATGTATATGCTCCAAGCTCGTGTGCTGTTTCATTCAGACGCTGTCTCCCCGACAGACCTGGTTTTCACCTGAGGACGGCTGCTTGTGTTGTGGCCGAAACGTCGTGAGAATTATTTTATTATGTTTTATTTTTATTATTTTATTACTTCCCTTCTACGTGACTTTACCGAAAGAACCAAGAAGAGAGGATATCTATGAAAAAGTTTGCCAAACTGTGAATAGTTTGGAGCTGAACTGGGCTAAACTAGCCAGTGTGACAACTGATGGTGCTCCTAGCATGGTGGGGTCTAAGAAAGGAGTAATTGCTAGCATTAACCAAGAGATGGACAAACATAACCATTCTCATCCAATAGCCATACATTGCCTCATCCACCAACAAGCGCTGTGTAGTAAATCACTGAAGTGGGACTCTGTTATGAAAATTGTGGTATCTTGTGTTAACTTCATTAGAGCTCATGCACTAAACCACAGACAATTTCAGGAATTTCTGTCTGAGCTAAATGTTGACTATGAAGATGTTTTGTATCACACAGAAGTCCGTTGGCTGAGTCGAGGGAGAGTTTTGAAACGTTTCTATGACTTACTTCCACAGATTACAGCTTTTCTGCTTTAAAAAAACAAAGAAGTACCAGAGCTCAATGATGCAGAATAAAAATGGCACATTGCCTTTCTGACAGATGTAACAGAGCTACTCAACAGTTTCAATGTGCAACTTCAAGGAAAGGGGAAGCTCATCTGTGATATGCAATCACATGTCAAAGCATTTGAAGTAAAATTAGGCCTCCTCATCAAACAAGTGAAGGAGGAAAACTTCTGCCATCTCCCCACAACTCAAAATCTGTTAGCGGAAAAACCATTGGTTGCATTCCCAAACAAAACATGTGTGGATTCACTGGAAAAATTGCAAAAGGAGTTCCAATTTGGATTTAAAGAGCTTCATCTCCATGAACAGGACATACAGCTTTTCCGTAATCCATTTTCTATTGACATTGAAAATGTGGATACAATTTACCAAATGGAACTGGCTGAACTGCAGAATTGTGACTCTGAAAGACGCATTCATGTCAAGCAGCCTTCATAATTTCAATGCATCTCTCCCCTCTGAGACATATCCTCATCTCAGGAACCATGCACTCAAAATGGCAACCATCTTTGGCAGCACTTATGTCTGTGAACAGACTTTTTCCAGAATTAAACATTTGAAATCTCCAACCAGATCTAGACTAACGGATGCACACTTGCATCACTTGTTACGACTCGCAGTGACAAATATGGAACCGGACATTGACCATCTCATTAGCCACAAGCAGGCCCATAGTTCCCATTGAAATACTGGCAAGTTTGTTGATTTAACTTTACTTGTTCTTTATTTTAAATATTGTATTTGTACCCGTTTTGTTTCTTCACTTCAAAATAAGATATATGCAGTGTGCATAGGAATTTGTTCATAGTTTTTTTTTTAACTATAGTCCGGCCCTCCAACGGTCTGAGGGACAGTGAACTGGCCCCCTGTTAAAAAAGTTTGAGGACCCCTGCACTAAACTATACACTACACTATACACTACACTACTATACACTACTATACACTACACTACTATACACTACATTATACGCTACATTACTATACACTACACTATACACTACACTACTATACACTACACTACTATACACTGCACTACTATACACTACACTACTATACACTACACTACTATACACTACACTACTATACACTACACTACTACACTATACATTACACTACTATACACTACTATACACTACTACACTGTACAATGGACACTACACTGTACACCACACTGTACAATGGACACTGCACACTATTATATACTACACTGTACACTACTGTACACTACACTGTACACCACTGTACACTACACATTTTACCCCACCAAAGACAAAGCTCCCCCAGGTAGCCTCTAGCAGGGCCGTAGGGGCAAGTGCTGTGAGTAGCGAGTAGTACCACCTAGGATACACACAAAGCTCCCCCAGGTAGCCTCTAGCAGGGCTGTAGGGGCAAGTGCTGTGAGTAGTAGCCAGTAGACACAGACAAAGCTCCCCCAGGTAGCCTCTAGCAGGGCCGTAGGGGCAAGTGCTGTTGGCGAGTCCCAGCAGCGAGTGGGTGGGTGGCCAGCGACCACAGCCGTGCTCGGGACTCATTTGAGGCCCAGTCTACCTAGAGGAGGTCCAGCGGACGTTTCGGTAAATCGTCGACAGCGAGCGAACCTGCCACACTACAGCTCCCCATACAACAACCACCAACAACAACCACAACCAACAACAACAACCAACAACAACTTTGAACGCGCGTAAACGACCGTGAGGTTGTGGGTTTTAAAATGTTAAACGTCGAGACGTCTCGCGGCTTGAACACGAAACGCAACAACAAAGTTTATTCGCGGAGAGAGAAAATGTTTCGCGTTACCAGCGGCCGCCTCCGTTGCCATTTCCGCGTCTATTTATAGACGAGCGGTGGCGGTGGTGGTGAGGCTGCTGCACACGCGGAAACACCCCCCCACCCACCCCTACCCCCATCCCCCCACCCACCACCATCACCCCCACCCACCACCATCCCCCCCACCCACCCACCACCATCCCCCCCCACCCACCACCCACCACCATCCCCCCACCCACCATCCCCCCCACCCACCACCACCCCCACCCACCACCACCCCCACCCACCATCCCCCCCACCACCCCCACCACCACAACCCCCACCGACACACACACCCCCACCTACACACACCCCCACCTACACACACACACACCTACACACACAGACCCTACACACACACCCCTACACACACACACCCCCACCTACACACACACACACCCTACACACACACACCTACACACACACACCTACACATACCCTCCCCCACCTACACACCCCTACACACACACCCCCACCTACACACACACACCCTACACACACACACACCTACACATACCCTCCCCCACCTACACACACCCCCACCTACACACACACACCCTACACACACACACACCTACACATACCCTCCCCCACCTACACACCCCTACACACACACCCCCACCTACACACACTCCCACCTACACACACACACCCCCACCGACACACACCCCTACACACACCCCCACCTACACACACCCCCCCCCACCACCCCCACCTACACACACCCTACACACACACACCCTACACACACACACCCCCACCTACAGACACCCCAACCTACACACACACACCCTACACACACCCTACACACACCCTACACACACACACACACCCCCACCTACACACACCCCCACCTACACACACCCCCACCTACACACACCCTACACACACACCCCCACCTACACACACCCCCACCTACACCCACCCCCCACCCACACCTACACACACACACCTACACACACACACCCTACACACACACACACCCCCACCTACACACACCCCTACACACACACACCCTACACACACACACACCCCCACCTACACACACACACACCCCTACACACACCCTACACACACCCCCACCTACACCCACCCCCCACCCACACACCCACCTACACACACACACCTACACACACCCCCACCTACACACACACACCTACACACACACACCCTACACACACACACACCCCCACCTACACACACACACACCCCTACACACACCCTACACACACCCCCACCCACCTACCCACCCCTACCCAATATGGCGGCGGGGAAGTCGACTTCGCCCTCCCGCCCTGACGCGTTCACGGACGCGTGACGTCACCGTGACGTCACGCCCAGCCGACCAATGGCGAAGCGCGACCCCAGTGCGCCTCAGCCGGAATCAGCTGTTCGACACGTGCGCGTCTGTGTGTGTCTGTGTGTCACACAACGCAACGCGCTCTCTAACAAAACCTTGCCCTCCTCCTCCCCCCGTCAACCTGTAACTGTCTGCAAGCCACGCAATGTCGCCACGCTGAGCCCGGGCGCGGCGGCAAAGATTTTGATGAATTCGCCGCTCGTTGCCGCCAAAGCGCTCGAGGCCTCGGGTCGGGCCGTGAGAAGCCTGCGTTGCCTGAAAAGCCTGCGGCGATTGAGCAGCGGGACGCGGCGAGACGCGCAGCCTCGAAGCGCTGCGGCGTCGGCGTCGTGGGCGGCGTCTCGACTCGCCAATAAGTTTCCGAGCGCCGCCGAGATGAACGCGGGCCCCGCCTCGACTCCAGGCTCACAGCCGACCCTGAAGCACCTCAAGAGCAGAGACAAGAGGCGCACGGCCGGCGCTGTGTATGCCCTCACACACACGCCGTCCTGGGTCTTCCTGCAGGCGAGTGGTGGAGGTGGTGCACGGTCCTGGGGGGGGGGGGGGGGGGGGGGGGGGGGGGGTCCTCAGTGGGGGAGGTCCTCAGGGGGGGTCCCCTACTGCCCTCAAGGGGGGGGTCCCCTTCTGCCCTCAGGGGGGGGGTCCCCTACTGCCCTCAGGGGGGGGGTCCCCTACTGCCCTCAAGGGGGGGGGTCTCCTACTGCCCTCAGGGGGGGGTCCCCTACTGCCCTCAGGGGGGGGGGGTCTCCTACTGCCCTCAGGGGGGGGGTCCCCTACTGCCCTCAGGGGGGGGGGTCCCCTACTGCCCTCAGGGGTGGGTCCCCTACTGCCCCCAAGGGGGGGGGTCCCCTACTGCCCTCAAGGGGGGGGTCCCCTACTGCCCTCAAGGGGGGGGGGTCCCTATACTGCCCTCAAGGGGGGGGGGGGTCTCCTACTGCCCTCAAGGGGGGGGGTCTTCTACTGCCCTCAAGGGGGGGGGGTCCCCTACTGCCCTCAGGGGGGGGGGGTCCCTACTGCCCACAAGGGGGGGTGTCCCCTACTGCCCTCAGGGGGGGGGTCCCTACTGCCCACAAGGGGGGGGGTCTCCTACTGCCCTCAAGGGGGGGGGGTCCCCTACTGCCCCTCAGGGGGGGGGGTCCCTACTGCCCACAAAGGTGGGGTGTACCACTACTGCCCTCAGGGGGGGGGGTGTCTCCTACTGCCCTCAGGGGGGGGGGTACCCTACTGCCCTCAGGGGGGGGGGTCCCCTACTGCCCTTCAGGGGGGGGGGGTCCCCTACTGCCCTCAGGGGGGGGGGTCCCCTACTGCCCTCAGGGGGGGGGTCCCCTACTGCCCTCAGGGGGGGTCCCCTACTGCCCTCAGGGGGGGGGTCTCCTACTGCCCTCAAGGGGGGGTCTCCTACTGCCCTCAAGGGGGGGTCTCCTACTGCCCTCAGGGGGGGGGGGTCCCCTACACTTATATGGGACTATATAATTGTCAATGGAAAAAGGAGGGTATAATAGTACGCTGTTAACATGATAACAAATGTAATGTTAATACACAATAGAGGTTTTTGGGTGAGATCGCGTAAATGTATAAATGTGTCGTTGAAACCCGCCACCACCCGACACAGCCAACTAGTGAGGGTTGTCACGTAAACAGAACGTGGCCAATTCGTCACTAGTACAATACTAGTGTGTAGTAGTGTAGTGTATAGTGTAGTGTATACTGTAGTATATTGTAGTGTATAGTGTAGTGTGTACTGTATAGTATAGTGTAGTGTATACTGTAGTATATTGTAGTGTAGTGTGTACTGTATAGTATAGTGTAGTGGATAATGTATAGTGTAGTGTATAGTGTAGTGTATCGTGTATTATACTAGTACAGCACCACCGGTGTGTTGGAGAGCCAAGCCACAACATTTACAATGTTAATCGCTTCAAAACGTCAAAGAGTCTATCACGAAACCATCGTTGTCAACGCGTGCCTGGAATCTTCTCCAGGTGGTCTCCAGAGCCCCAGAGGCAGCACATCTCTCGTGGAATTGTTGACAAATTCTCAGAAGTGTTACAAACTTTTTTATTAAGCAACCCCGTGTAGAGGGTTGGGCTGCTGGGACACTTAAGCAAAGTTCCCTGTGCACGCAAATCTTGAATTGTCACGGTGAGCGATGGAGGATGATGATGAGTGATGCATGTGGCACGGGAAGATAAATGAATGGTTGATGACTAAAATAACTTAACACATTGTTTTAATTTACCAGGTAAGGCCCCACTGAGCTATATAGTAGTATCGAAAATGATCACGCGATATTAATTCTAAACTTGAAGGAGAAAACCGGAGGACCCTGAGAAAAATCCACGCGACCACGGGAAGAGAGAGAAAGAGACACCGCAAACTCCAAATATACAGCAGCAGGCGTCAGGGGCGGGATCGAACTCACGACCTCCTGTATACCAGGCGAGGTAGTTAACATCTCATAGCCACCGTGATGATGATGAGAGAGAGACACACAAACTCCAAATATACAGCAGGCATCAGGGTTGCGATTGAACCCACGACCTCCTGTATACCAGGCGAGGTAGTTAACATCTCCTAGCCACCGTGATGCTGGTGAGAGAGAGAGACACGCAAACTCCAAATACACAGCAGGCGTCTGGGACGGGAGCAGACCCACGACCTCCTGTATAGCAGGCGAGGTAGTTAACATCTAGCCACTGCGAGGTGAGTGAGAGGGGGTACTGTCTTGGAGATGCTGGAGAGAAGATGTCTGGGAGTCGTGGAGATGGCGTTAGAGACATGACAGATGGGTGATACATGTGTAGTGACTCACTCTGGTTTATTCACACGGCATGACAGTGAACACTTGGTAGCTACGGTTCCCAGTCAGGTAGACTGCCTGACTGGCAACGCCGAGATGGTGAAGACGGCGGCGACGGTGAAGACTCCAGCAGCACAACAGGACCCCACTCCACACGACAGCCCTGAGCACCCCTCCCGGGGCCCCTCTTTTACTGTCAGCGTGGCCTGGCTCCGCCCCCAGTCACACCCCCTTCTGGAACCTTCCAGCAGGTTCTCGATGTGACCCTTCCGTGACCTTTCCCCTACATCTCTCTCTGGTTTATCACATTCAGTGAGGGCTCCTGTGAGCTGCAGATCCCCTTCCCTGCCAGCAGGCAGCGCTATGCTGCTACGTGGCCGACTCTATGTCACTACACATGTCCTGTATGTTGAACTTCTTTCGCACCGTGCACAGCCAACCATGATAACACGAGTAGTGATGCGTCCTGTCCAAGACTACTCTTATTGTTACAGAACTCAATGTGGTCTCGGTAGACAATACAGGCTGAATGCGATAGAGGCAGACAGAGGCGGAGATACACAAATAAATACATTGTTACAGAAGCGTGGACACAGAGACATACACAGACACTCACGGCCCCTATAAACATAACAAGCTCCCTCTCCTCGACCCCATCCTCACCATCGTTCCCCAAGTACAGAGTCACAGTTCCCACACCGCCACGGTCGTGTCGATTCTTTCTCTCCGCGTCCTCCGGTTTTTCCCCTCCACGTTTAGAAAAGCAGCGTTTCAATTGTCTTTGACTATTTTGCTGCGAAGCATTTCCACGCGATAAGCCACTGCTTTGAGCTATCGTTTGTGGCCAGGTTGCTTCTAAAAATAGAGAAGCTATAGCTCAGTGCGCTTTACCTGGTAAAATAGAAAAAACACATTTGTATATTTTATGAAGTGATTTATTTGCATTTCCTATACTTTGCACTGTTATCGTGTTTTTCTCTTTGTTGTTCTGACCTGCCTCTACTGGACATCGTTAACACAAGAGCTTCATAGCTCATCGGATTTTTTTCTGTATAAATGAATGTTCTGATTCTAACTTCCTCGCTTGTCAATCTGTCCGCCCAGGTGGTGAACTCTGGGCAGAGGGGGTCCGGACCAGCACTCTTCTTGTTCTCAGACTTCAACAGGTGACACCAACCACTGCCCTGCCCCCATCCACCCTCTGCCCCCATCCACCCTCTGCCCCCATCCACCCTCTGCCCAGTGGCTTCATTGGGCCACGGTGGCTAGGAGATGTTAACTACCTCGCCTGGTATACAGGAGGTCGTGGGTTCGATCCCTACCCTGATGCCTGCTGCTGTATATTTGGAGTTTGTGTGTCTCTCTCTCATCATCATCACGGTGGCTAGGAGATGTTAACTGCCTCGCCTGGTATACAGGAGGTCATGGGTTTGATCCCGACCCCTGGCGCCTGCTGCTGTATATTTAGAGTTTGCGTGTCTCTCTCTCCCCGTAGTCGCGTGGATGTTTCTCCACGTTTGGAAACATCCACGTTTGGAAACACGGATGCCAGAAATTTGCACGTGATGATCCACTGTCGTCGAGCTATCATTTGTGGTCAGGTCACTTCTGAAAAAGAGCTACCTAGCTCAGTGGGCCTTACCTGGTATAATAGTTTATAGATGGTAGATGCCACGGTGGCTAGGAGATGTTACCACCCTCGCCTGGTATGCAGGAGGTCGTGGGTTTGATCCCGACCCTGAGATCTGTATATTTGGAGTTTGCGTGTCTATCTCCCAATGGCTTTATGGATTTGTTTCTGGGTCCTCTGCTTTCCCCCTCCACAATTAGAATTGGCATACTTTGAGAGTATTTGGCAGCTGTAAATGTCCACGTGACAAGCCACGTGGTCGAGCAATTGTTTGTGGCCGTATAGGTCCGTGGGCCTTACCGGGTAAAATAAAGAAAAAAAAACTGTTTTGATTAAATTTTGATTTAAAGCTTTCGTGACTGCAGGGATTCATATTCTTGGTTCTTTCGGTAAAGTCACATAGAAGGGAAATAATAAAATACTGTTTAATATTTTTATTATTTTATTATTTCCCTTCTACGTGACTTTACAGTTTAGATTAGTTTAGATTCATCGTCCAATGCAGATGCCCACACAAAGAAAGAACAAGAAACCATTTGGGATGTTGCGGTGACACCCTCTGTGCTGGACAACGGCTCACAGAAGCGGATGTCGCAGAACTACCGCTTGAGATCCCTTTGAGGTGGCGCTCTGCTCCACACAGACTAGAGGGGAAGGAACGTTGCCGCCTGCTCCGCGTGACCCTCAAAGCAACATTTTAATTCCCAATTAAAGGGCAGAACCGTCTTGAACGTGACAGCGCGGGGGGTTATTACACGCTTTTATTTAACTCACTTCGTCTGTTGTAACCTCAAAAAATAAATCTTGTAACTCAATTTGTACACACTTCCCAATGTGCTATCGACTGCAAACTTGGTATGGGTGTGTCATAGTGATGGCAACACGATATTCTATCATAAAAAATTTAAAACATATATTTTTAAACTTTTTACACGCTTTTATTTCACTTACTGTGTGTGTTGTCGTATCCAAAAATATTGTAACTCAATTTCAACCGTATTCCCAATGTCGTATCGACTGCAAACTTGGTATAGCTGTGTCATACTGATGACAATACTATATTCTATCACTGAAATTTAAAAATAAATATTTTTTTAAATATTTTTTACGGCTCTAATTGTCAATGTTCAACTGACGTTGCCTGTAAATCACCACGTGGTCCCTGACGTCACGGCAAGCCTCGGGGAGCCACGCCCAGGGGGGGCGGGGGGTGTGGAAGGAGGGGAGGGGCAGCTCGGACAGTACATCTCATTAAAGCGTGGTTTTTTTAAAGTATTTTAAAATATTTTATTTGTTGCTTAGTCATCGTTGACCGAGCTGAGACCACCAACTTGCGAGAACACGGCCGAGTCGTGGCAGAAACCCCGATTAGACCCCAGGAGAGACGCCAGCCCCCTCGTTACCAGTGCAGCGTCTCGCTTGCCCTGATCCCCGTGCGTTTGTCGTTCTCTCTGTGCCGCGTAGATATCTCTTCAACTGTGGAGAAGGGGTCCAGAGGGTGATGATGGAACACAAGTAAGTGTCCTCTCTATGATAATTGTTTTTTACCCTTCTATCTGGCAACAAAACTGACACCTTTTTTTTACAAGGAGTCATTTTTGCATAGACCACAATACCTGCAGTCGTAATGCAAACAAAAAACATAACTGATAATGTGCACTGTCCTTGAAGTTGATTGGTCCACACCCGTTTTCACATCTGATGATGATCGCTTGTGTTGCAATAGAAACGTCGTGATCATTTTATAGTTAAATTTTTATTATTTTGTTATTTCCCTTCTACGTGACTTTACCGAAAAAACCAAGAATATGATAGCAAATTCTCAGAAGTGTTAAAAACATTTTTGACGCACCCCGTATCTTGTCGATGTGTTTGTGTGCTCGCGGTTGCGCAGCGTTTAGCAAACTGCGATACGAACCCGGTGACCCGAGTTCGATTCCCGCTCATGGCCAACACCAGTGACGATTGTCTGAACCGGTCCTGGGCCTCCTCTAGGTCGACCCAGCCTCAAATGTGTACCTGGTGTGGTGTCTAAACTGCACCACTGGGGAGACAAAGGCGGCCGGGAGTGGAGCTGGCCACCCACCCCCTCGTGTACCGGGTTGGCCTTCATAGATGCTGATAAAAGAACTTGGCCCAACATTTTGTTAAGGCTATACGGGGGATCTTTGTCTTTTTGTGTGTGTCTTATGATTTCTTCATCCCATGTCTAGGCTCAAAATGTCTCGGCTTGACAAGATTTTCTTCACGAGGATGAGCTGGAACAACGTGGGAGGACTTTCTGGTGAATATGGCATCTTCAGCCCAGTTCTGCTGGAGCCGAGTCTCAAGACGCTGAGACCCGGTCTCCTGGAGCCGAGTCTCGAGACACTGAGACCCGGTCTCCTGGAGCCGAGTCTCAAGACGCTGAGACCCGGTCTCCTGGAGCCGAGTCTCAAGACCCTGAGACCCGGTCTCCTGGAGCCGAGTCTCAAGACCCTGAGACCCGGTCTCCTGGAGCCGAGTCTCAAGACCCTGAGACCCGGTCCCCTGGAGCCGAGTCTCAAGACCCTGAGACCCGGTCCCCTGGAGCCGAGTCTCAAGACCCTGAGACCCGGTCTCCTGGAGCCGAGTCTCAAGACCCTGAGACCCGGTCTCCTGGAGCCGAGTCTCAAGACCCTGAGACCCGGTCCCCTGGAGCCGAGTCTCAAGACCCTGAGACCCGGTCTCCTGGAGCCGAGTCTCAAGACCCTGAGACCCGGTCCCCTGGAGCCGAGTCTCAAGACCCTGAGACCCGGTCCCCTGGAGCCGAGTCTCAAGACCCTGAGACCCGGTCTCCTGGAGCCGAGTCTCAAGACCCTGAGACCCGGTCCCCTGGAGCTGGTTGTCATGTGGTTTTTCTCTGTGTTTGTTTCTGCAGGAATGATTCTTACCATGAAAGACATCAACATTCCCGAGTGCAGCTTGTTTGGACCCCCGCAGCTTGTGAGTACGCGTTGCTGTCACCGCGCCCCCAAGTGTGAGAAGAGCGTGAGTTCGATTCCCAATTAGGGTTAAACTCAGCCGGCATCATCAGCCATCCACATCAGCATCATCATCATCAGTAGAAGCAGAAGCTTCATCAGCAAAACCAGTCGTGGCATCAGCAGCAGCAGCAGCAGTGCCAGTAGCAGTATCATCATCATCATCTTATATTCATTGTGGTCATATCTGCGTGCGTCCCTGTGCGTGTGAGAAGCTGTTTCACGCGGTGGTTAGCGCCACTGGGCTACTAGCCCAGCCATCTGAGTTTGATGCCCGTGGCTAACATGGGGGGAAGATTGTATTGCAACCCGCCCTGGGTGTCTCCTGCGCCTTTATCAACCCTCGCTGACCCGCCGTGGTGAAGCATGGCAGGGGATGTCGGCTAGCGGTCGAGGCTAACGATGGAGCGACAGTCTAAGGAAAGAACGCACCGGGCAGAGACGTCCGCTGGGGAGATGGAGTGATGGAATCGGCTCGTGTGCAGGTGCTAGGTGGATCATTGCATCTTGTCTGAGTCTGTGGCTGTCCGTGTGAGTCTGTGGGTCTCATTGTGAGTCTGTGGGTCTCCGTGTGAGTCTGTGGGTCGCTGTATGAGTCTGTGGGTCTCTGTGTGGGTCTGTGGGTCTCTGTGTGAGTCTGTGAGTCTATGGGTCGCTGTGTGAGTCTGTGGCTATCCGTGTGAGTCTGTGGGTCTCTGTGTGAATCTATGGGTCTCTGTGTGAGTCTATGGGTCTCTGTGTGAGTGTATGGGTCTCTGTGTGAGTCTATGGGTCTCTGTGTGAGTCTGTGGGTCTCTGTGTGAGTCTCTGGGTCGCTGTGTGAGTCTGTGGCTATCCGTGTGAGTCTGTGGGTCTCCGTGTGAGTCTATGGGTCTCCGTGTGAGTCTATGGGTCGCTGTGTGAGTCTATGGGTCGCTGTGTGAGTCTATGGGTCTCTGTATGAGTCTGTGGGTCTCTGTGTGAGTCTGTGGGTCTCTGTGTGAGTCTATGCGTCTCCGTGTGAGTCTGTGGGTCTCCGTGTGAGTCTGTGGGTCTCTGTGTGAGTCTGTGCGTCTTTGTGTGAGTCTGTGGGTCTCCGTGTGAGTCTATGGGTCTCTGTAATTCCATCAGCTTGACACGATGGAATTTCTGGTGTTTTGGGGCATGAACAGTGAACCGTTGAGAGCCGTGTTAAGTTTTAATTTCCTTGGTCACCCCAATTAATTTCTCACGTTTCCGTAACTCGATGTCGCAGTTGCGCCTCCGCTCAGCCTAAACACAATCCGCGCGAGCCGGCTCGCACCGCAGGGACTGCATTGCCTGACGCCGATTTACGTTTCGCGCAAAATGTTTCTCGATCTCACGTCAAGCCGCGAGTTGCTTTCTCTCCGATCCCTCTTTGCGCGTATGCACGCGCGCGCGTACACTGCGCGTAGCCAACCATGTCAATCGGAGGCGTTTTATCGCGACGGTCCGTGGCATTGACGTGCGGCGGTGAGCGGGCGGTGAGCGGGCGTTGTGGCGCGTCTCTCCCGCAGGAGAGGTATCTGGAAGGAGTCAACGTGTTTGCTGCCAACATCCACGACCTCAAGTTGGGTAGGTGACCGACCCCCACTCCTCACCCCCCCTCACCCCCTCCGCCCCTCCCCGCCCCTCTCTCCTCCCCCCTCTCTCCTCCCCCCTCTCTCCACCGGAATCTTCTATAACCAAAAGCATGGCCCAAATGTAAGAGCATTTGCCTGCCAAGCAGCAGGTCTGAAAGTTCAAATGCCGCCATCCTCTCCCCTAAAATAACTAAACTATTAAAAAAACATCTTCTTGGTTCTTTCGGTAAAGTCACGTAGAAGGGAAGTAATAAAATAATAAAAATAAAACATAATAATTTTATTTTATTATGTTTTATTTTTATTATTTTATTAATAATTTTATTTTATTATGTTTTATTTTTATTATTTTATTACTTCCCTTCTACGTGACTTTACCGAAAGAACCAAGAAGATGAATCCCTGCAGTCACGAAAGCTTTAAATCGAAATTTATTAAAAAAACATTTTATTTATTATTTTGCCAGGTAAGGCCCGCTGAGCTAGGTAGCTCGTTTTCAGAAGCGGCCTGGCTTTCGCAAATGACAGCTCAACGAAGTGAGCTTTTCGTCGCGTGGAAATTTATAGCAGCCAAAGACCTCAAGATGCACGCTTCTAAATGTGGAGGGAAAACCCGGAGGACCCGGAGAAAAATCTACACGACCACAGGGGGATCGAACCCACGACCTCCTGCACACCAGGCGAGGTAGTCAACATCTCCTAGCCACCGTGATGATGATGAGAGAGAGACACACAAACTCTAAATATACAGCAGCAGGCGTCAGGGTTGGGATCGAACCCACGACCTCCTGTACACCAGGCGAGGTAGTTAACATCTCCTAGCCACCGTGATGATGATGAGAGAGAGAGACATGCAAACTCCAAATATACAGCAGCAGGCATCGTCAGGGTTGGGATAGAACCCACGACCTCCTGCAAAGCAGGCGAGGTAGTTAACATCTTCTAGCCACTGCTGCGTGCAAAGTACAGAAAGATTTGAAGCTTTCGTGACTGCAGGGATCCATACTCTTTGGTTCTTTCGGTAAAGTCACGTGGGTAGAAATAAAATAAAATAAAACAAATCACGACGTTTCGGGCGCAACACAAGCGTCCGATGTAAGGAAAAAGTTTAAAAAGTTTAGCTGGAAGCACATTATATTTTTTGCGACCTAGAATTGTAATGTATTGCTTACGGTTGGCAGCTCAGCTTATTGAGAGTATATTTAGCATACTGATGATACTATGTAGTTTATAGTTTAGCTTTGTACGTGGTGGTTTAGTTACTGCAGCTACATACTATTCACATTCCTTCCCTTTGTTAATGCTACCCCTGCCCCTGCCCCCTCCCTTTGATGCTGCTAATCCTGCATAATGCACGGGCATAATATGACTTTGAAAACCCCCCGCCCACCTCCTACGCATTTCACAAATTAGCACTATTCGCATTCCTGCATTTCCCATAAATATGCTAAATTTCTCTTGATATGCAGATTCTTTTGTCAAGGCGCATTTTTCCCCCCTTCCAACCTAGCTTAAATAGATGCTCCAAGCGTGGTGGTGTTTCTTTTAGACGCTGTCGCCTCGACAGACCTGCTCTTCACCTGAGGACGGCCACTTGCGTTGTGGCCGAAACGTCGTGAGAATTATTTTATTATGTTTTATTTTATTATTTTATTACTTCCCTTCTACGTGACTTTACCGAAAGAACCAAGAAGATGAATCCCTGCAGTCACGAAAGCTTTCAATCGAAATTTAATGCAGATATTTTTTGCACGGCGAGTGAGCCGTGACGTCACATCTGTCACGTGACCCGCGCATGTGGAAGCGTAACGCGTTGTAATGTAGCGGGTAGCGCGCCGCGCTACGAACCCGGCGACCCGAGTTCGACTCCCGCTCACGGCCACCACCGGTGACGATTATTTTCACCGGTCCTGGGCCTCCCCTAGGTCGACTCAGCCTCAAGCGAGTAACTGGTGCGGTGTGTGAGCATCGCCACTGGGGAGACAAAGGCGGCCGGGCGTGGCGAATCCAAGTCCCGGGCGAAGCCGGGTAGTAAAACTAGTGTTGCTATAAAGGAGGTCAGATGACTCGGGTGAGTTATATTGCCCGTATCGGAGTTGCTGTGCCCGGCACTGCTGACACTCTTGACACCCTGGGTTCAGGATTTCTCTCTCAAGGGCTTCATCATGGCTATGCGATGGACGCTAAACGTCTTGACATCCTGGGTTCAAGTCTAGAGGCTTGGTGTCTGCAAGGAGGTTCATAATGACCACGTCGGTGGCTCCAGCCGGCGCTGCCGAGTTGCCGAGTTGAAGGTTTCGATCGCTTCGTCTGGATGTCTGGGTTTCTCACGGTGTCGCGATGGCCGTGTTAGTGCCACAGCCATCGCCGCTGAGAGAATTTTTCATTCAAGATTGAAGCCCTGGGTATGGGTGTCTCTCTCTCCTCATAATGGCCACGGCGGTGGCACGGAGCCGGCACTGCCGAGTTGCTGGGTCGAAGGTTCAACCCCTGGCTCAGGTGTCTCTCTGTGACAAGGGGAAGACCTGAAGCCAGGTGGCCATGAAGACGATTCATGATGATGGTGATGATGATGGTGGTGATGATGGTGATGATGGTGGTGATGGTGGTGATGGTGATGATGATGCTGCTGTACGAGTGATCCTGGTGGGACGTGTCGCTGGTACATCGGTGTGTGGAATCTGGCAGCAGGAAGGGAGCAATGGTGGGGAGGGGGGCATGGGGGCAGCTTGGGATGATGTCCCTGCTGTGTTTTGTTTGGCAGTGGTGGAGCCGTGCACGGAGATGGAGTCGGTGGATGAGACGATGGCGGTGCAACAGATCCCCATCCTCGGTGAGGACGCTGCTTGGTGCAGTGGCGGTGGTTTGGTCCTGCCCCAGGAATGTGGAATGTCCGTTACGGGCCTTGGGACCACCGGCGATAATGAGAGAGTGATAATGCGCGAGATGGTGTTTGTGTCTGTCTGTCTGCGCCGATTGTGTGTGCGTGTGTGTGCGTGCGTGTGCGAGAGTATGAATGTGTGAGGTTGGGTGTGTGTGCGATTGTGTGTGTGCGTGCGTGCGTGTGCATGGGAGAGTATGAATGTGTGAGATTGGGTTTGTGTGCGATTGTGTGTGTGTGTGTGCGAGTGCGTGCGAGAGTATGAATGTGTGCAATGGTGTGTGTGTGTGTGTTCGTGCGTGTGCGAGAGTATGAATGTGTGAGGTTGGGTGTGTGTGCGATTGTGTGCGTGTGTGTGCGTGCGAGAGTATGAATGTGTGAGATTGGATGTGTGCGTGTGTGTTCGTGTGTGTGTGCAAGAGTATGAATGTGTGAGGTTGGGTGTGTGTGCGCGATTGTGCGTGTGTGCGATTGTGCGTGTGTGCTGCGATTGTGCGTGTGTGTGCGATTGTACGTGTGAAAGTATGAATGTGTGAGGTTGGGTGTGTGTGCGATTGCGTGTGTGTGTGTCGATTCGGCCTCAAATGAGTACCTGGTGCGGTGTGTAAACATCGCCACTGGGGAGACAAAGGCGGTCGGGCGTGTTTCTGGCCACACACCCCCTCGTGTGCCGTGCCGGTCTTCATAGGTGCTCGCTAACAGCACTTGCCCCATCAGTCTGTTAAGGCTATACGGGGGGTCTTTGTTTTTGTGCATATTTTTGCGCGTGTAAGTGTGTGATGGCGCGTGTGTGATTGTGTGAATGTGTGGTTGTGCGTGATTGTGTGTGAGTGCGTCTGTGATTGTGCGTGTGGTTGCGTGTGGTTGTGTGATTGCGTGTGTGGTTGTGTGATTGCGTGTGAGTGTGCGTGTGATTGTGTGAGTGATTGTGATTGCGTGTGATTGCGTGTGTGGTTGTGTGTGGTTGTGTGTGGTTGTGTGTGGTTGTGTGTGAGTGTGCGTGTGATTGTGTGAGTGTGTGATTGTGTGTGTTATTGTGTGTGATGGTGTGTGAGTGTTGTGAGATTGCGTGTGAGTGTGCGTGTGATTGTGAGTGTGATTGTTGGCACATTAGAGGGTACAGGTGATGCATCTGCCAGTCATCTCAGTCAAGCCATAGCAGCTCCTCCAGCCAGCGCGCCATCAACACCTCACGTTGCCTCGGGGTGCACCTAGCCTGGCACAAGCGCCGTGGTGACGTCACCACCACGTGCTGGAGAATGGCGGCTGCTGTTGCGCGCGTTGATAGGTGCTCGCAAACGGCATTTGCAGAGGATCGTGGCGCTGATGTGCACATCGTTGTTGACTGACGATGAATTCTGTCTGCAGGAGACGACTCCAAGGCTGACGACCCTTCGCTGACCGTGGCGTACCTGTGCAAGGTAATTGGAGTGCAGCGCCTGTCAAACACTCGTCTCCTGGAGCCGGAGGATTTGGCTGTGTGGGTCGATATTCCGTGGGAGTCCAGTTTTTTTACCATGGAAGTCTAGTTTTACCATGGGAAGTCCAGTTTTACCATGGGAGTAATTTTACCATGGGAGTAGTTTTACCACTGGCGGTCCAGTTTTACCATGGGAAGTCCAGTTTTACCATGGGAAGTCCAGTTTTACCATGGGAAGTCCAGTTTTACTATGGGAGTAGTTTTACCATGGTAGTAGTTTTACCATGGGAGTCCAGTTTTACCATGGGAAGTCCAGTTTTACCATGGGAAGTCCAGTTTTACCATGGGCGAATATCTGAACCGGTCCTGTTCTTCTCCTAGGTCGACTCGGCATTAAATTAGTCTCTTTTGGGGGTGTGTGTAAAACATCACCGTTGGGGAGACAAAGGCGGCCGGGCGTGGTGCTGGCCACCCACCCCCTCGTGTGCCGTGCCGGCCTTCACAGGTGCTTAACACGTAGCAGGCTTTCGCGACCAATGTTATTCATAATCAACGTTTTTGGGTTTAGATCGCGTTATTTATAAATGTGTTGTAACCCTCCACCACCACCCGACACACGGCCAATCAGTAAAAAAGTGTCACGTTGACAAAAGACAAATAGTTCACTGCTTTAGCCCCCACCGGTGTGTTGAAGCGTGAAACCACAACATTTACAATTTGAGTAGTACGACGTTTCGCTGGCAATTGCATCCAGCATCATCGGGCAATTCGCCAGAATGGTGAGGCTCTGCTGTGTCTCCCGTTCTTATATAGAGCAGCAGCAGCAGCAGGGTGACATCATCATTAACTCATTAACTCATCAGGTGCAAAGATTCGAGGGGGGAGTTATTGTAATTATATACTAGATTGGTAATCAGGCTATTGTTACGATGCAAGTTGTAGATTAGTAATCATTTGGAATGTGTTTTATTGTGATTATGCTACATTCGTAATCAGTTAGTGTGTGCTGCTACTACTCGCTAACTGCGCTTGCCCCAACAGTCTGTTGAGGCTTAAACGGTGGTTCTTCGTGTCCCAACAGCTCCATGAACGCAAAGGCAGCTTCCTTCTGACGAACGCCAAGGCCCTGGGACTGCCCATGTGAGTTCGCGTGCCCATCGCACGCAACAGCTTCACCCACATCGCGCTCACGAGGTCATCTCTTGTCACGGCCATTGCGAATCGCCTGAGACACGGGGTAGGCCTCGGCAAGGTAAGGTAATTTACCCTTTTTACCGGGTAAAAGGGTAAAAAGGTAAAGGTGTCGACATGCCCAAGGGGTAAGGTGAAGGGTAGGGTAACGGTAGGCTCGTTGCTTTTGACCTTTGACCTTTTACCTTACCTTGCTAAAGGGTAAAAGGTAGGGTTAGAGTGATTGTATTGTGGTAAGGTAAAAGGTAGGGTAAAGGTAGGGTCATTGCTTTTTTTTTTTACCTTTAACCTTTGACCTTGCCGAGGCCTAGACACAGACACCCAGGCCCGGGGATTGAACCCAGAAACTCGTGGTCTTGGATCAGCGTCTGCTCCACGGCCATTACGACCATCGTGAGACAGAGAGACCCAGAGTTTTGGCTTTAACCTGGATCCCAGGATCATCAGTGTTGCTGGCTTCGTGTGTCTGACACGGCCATTGTGAACCCTGAGAGAGAGACACCCAGACCCAGGGATTGAACCCAGGATCTCAGTGTTTCTGGTGTAGTGTGTCTGACACGGCCATTGTGAACCCTGAGAGGGAGAGACACCCGGGCTTAGTGATTGAACCCAGGATCTCAGTGTTGCTGGCTTTGTGTGTCTGACACGGCCATTGTGAACCCTGAGAGGGAGACACACCCAGGCCCTGGGATTGAACCCAGGATCTCAGTGTTGCTGGCTTCGTGTGTCTGACACGGCCATTGTGAACCCTGAGAGAGAGAGAGACACCCGGGCTTAGTGATTGAACCCAGGATCTCAGTGTTGCTGGCTTTGTGTGTCTGACACGGCCATTGTGAACCCTGAGAGAGAGAGAGACACCCGGGCTTAGTGATTGAACCCAGGATCTCAGTGTTGCTGGCTTCGTGTGTCTGACACGGCCATTGTGAACCCTGAGAGAGAGAGAGACACCCGGGCTTAGTGATTGAACCCAGGTTCTCAGTGTTTCTGGCGTAGTGTGTCTGACACGGCCATTGTGAACCCTGAGAGGGAGAGACACCCAGGCCCTGGGATTGAACCCAGGTTCTCAGTGTTGCTGGTTCAGCGTCTGTCCCACGGCCATTGTGAACCTTGTGAGACAGAGAGACCCCAGGATTTACACCATTGGAACCTCCTTTGCCAGTAGCAAAATATGATAATTGTTTTTTTACCCTTTTATCTGGCAACAAAACTGACAGTTTTTTACAAGGAGTCATGTTTGCATTGACCACAATACCTGCGGTCGGAATGCAAAAAAAAACATAACTCTGATAATGTATGCACTGTCCTTGAAGTTGATTGGTCCACACCCGAGACAGATTTTCTTAGAGCCTAGTCTCATATTTTGCTACTGGCAAAAGAGGTTCCAATGGTGTAAATGCTTACCCCGAGCTCTCATACTCTGATGGTGCATTGTCTTTGAGTTGTGCGCTTTTTGGCGTCATCTGGTCCAACACAATGTGAGACTGGACTCTAAGGAAAGCTGTCTCGGGTGTGGACCAATCAACTTCAAGGACAGTGCATACATTATCAGAGTTATGTGTTTTTGTTTGAATTTTGACCGCAGGTATTGTGGTCAATGCAAACATGACTCCTTGTAAAAGACGGTGTCAGTTTGGTTGCCAGCTAAAAGGGTAAAACACCAATTATAATTGTCTGATAATTATCAGACCCCAGGATCTCAGTGTTGCTGGCTTCAGCACGCCTGACACGGCCATTGTAAACGCCTGACCCACCAGTCCATCCCAGACGCACTCGCAAGTGGGCGCTGGACCTTCCACGTTCGCTTGGCCGAGGTGTCAGGTGGGTCGGCTCGTTTTGTTGGCGGGAGCTTTGGTCTGTGACGTGCGTCGGTGAGTGGGAAGGGACGGCTCTCCCAACCGCCGTGTTTGATTTTTGTTTATTTGCGTTTGCAGAGGAACTAAAGACCTGGGACCCATGGTCACAGATTTTAAAAACGGCAAGTCTGTGGTGTTCAACGGACGAGAGGTCGGTGCATTGTGCGTCTGCGTTTATTGTGCGCGTGTGTCTGCGTGTGTGTCTGCGTGTGTTGTGTGTGTGTTGTGTGTGTGTCGGCGTCTGTTGTGCGTGTGTTGTGCGTGTGTCTGCGTGTGCATCTGCGTTTATTGTGCGCGTGTGTCTGCGTGTGTGTCTGTGTGCGTCTGCGTTTGTTGTGCGCGTGTCTCTGCGTGTGTTGTCTGTGTGTCTGCGTGTGTTGTCTTGAGACTTGGTTCCAGGAGACCGGGTCTCAGGGTCTTGAGACTCGGCTCCAGGAGACCGGGTCTCAGGGTCTTGAGACTCGGCTCCAGGAGACCGGGTCTCAGTGTCTTGAGACTTGGTTCCAGGAGACCGGGTCTCAGGGTCTTGAGACTCGGCTCCAGGAGACCGGGTCTCAGGGTCTTGAGACTCGGCTCCAGGAGACCGGGTCCCAGGGTCTTGAGACTCGGCTCCAGGAGACCGGGTCTCAGCGTCTTGAGACTCGGCTCCAGGAGACCGGGTCCCAGGGTCTTGAGACTCGGCTCCAGGAGACCGGGTCTCAGCGTCTTGAGACTCGGCTCCAGGAGACCGGGTCTCAGGGTCTTGAGACTCGGCTCCAGGAGACCGGGTCTCAGCGTCTTGAGACTCGGCTCCAGGAGACCGGGTCTCAGCGTCTTGAGACTCGGCTCCAGGAGACCGGGTCTCAGGGTCTTGAGACTCGGCTCCAGGAGACCGGGTCTCAGTGTCTTGAGACCCGGCTCCAGGAGACCGGCTCTCAGGGTCTTGAGATTCGGCTCCAGGAGACCGGGTCTCAGGGTCTTGAGACTCGGCTCCAGGAGACCGGGTCTCAGGGTCTTGAGACTCGGCTCCAGGAGACCGGGTCTCAGGGTCTTGAGATTCGGCTCGAGGAGACCGGGTCTCAGCGTCTTGAGACTCGGCTCCAGGAGACCGGGTCTCAGTGTCTTGAGACTCGGCTCCAAGAGACCGGGTCTCAGTGTCTTGAGACTCGGCTCCAAGAGACCGGGTCTCAGCGTCCTGAGACTCGGCTCCAGAGACCGGGTCTCAGCGTCCTGAGACTCGGCTCCAGGAGACCGGGTCTCAGTGTCTTGAGACCCGGCTCCAGGAGACCGGGTCTCAGTGTCTCGAGACTCGGCTCCAGGAGACCGGGTCTCAGTGTCTCGAGACTCGGCTCCAGGAGACCGGGTCTCAGTGTCTTGAGACTCGGCTCCAGGGGACCGGGTCTCAGGGTCTTGAGACTCGGCTCCAGGAGACCGGGTCTCAGCGTCTTGAGACTCGGCTCCAGGAGATCGGGTCTCAGCATCTTGAGACTCGGCTCCAGGAGACCGGGTCTCAGTGTCTTGAGACTCGGCTCCAGGAGACCGGGTCTCCGTGTCTGAGACTCGGCTCCAGGAGACCGGGTCTCAGGGTCTTGAGACTCGGCTCCAGGAGACCCGGGTCTCAGTGTCTTGAGACTCGGCTCCAGGAGACCGGGTCTCAGTGTCCTGAGACTCGGCTCCAGGAGACCGGGTCTCAGTGTCTTGAGACTCGGCTCCAGGAGACCGGGTCTCAGCTAGTCTTGAGACTCGGCTCCAGGAGACCGGGTCTCAGTGTCTTGAGACCTCGGCTCCAGGAGACCGGGTCTCAGTTCCTCTGAGACTCGGCTCCAGGAGACCGGGTCTCAGTGTCTTCGAGACTCGGCTCCAGGAGACCGGGTCTCAGTGTCTTCGAGACTCGGCTCAGGAGACCGGGTCTCAACGTGTCTTCGAGACTCGGCTCCAGGAGACCGGGTCTCAGCTGTCTTGAGACTCTGCTCCAGGAGACCGGGTCTCAATGTCTGAGACTCGGCTCCAGGAGACCGGGTCTCAGCTCTTGAGACTCTGCTCCAGGAGATCGGGTCTCAGTGTCTTGAGACTCGGCTCCAGGAGACCGGGTCTCAGTGTCTTGAGACTCGGCTCCAGGAGACCGGGTCTCAGCGTCTTGAGACTCTGCTCCAGGAGACCGGGTCTCCGTGTCCTGAGACTCGGCTCCAGGAGACCGGGTCCCAGGTCTTGAGACTCGGCTCCAGGAGACCGGGTCTCAGTGTCTTGAGACTCGGCTCCAGGAGACCGGGTCTCAGCATCTTGAGACTCGGCTCCAGGAGACCGGGTCTCAGTGCCTTGAGACCCGGCTCCAGGAGACCGGGTCTCAGTGTCTCGAGACTCGGCTCCAGGAGACCGGGTCTCAGTGTCTTGAGACTCGGCTCCAGGAGACCGGGTCTCAGTGTCTTGAGACTCGGCTCCAGGGGACCGGTCTCAGGGTCTTGAGACTCGGCTCCAGGAGACCGGGTCTCAGCGTCTTGAGACTCGGCTCCAGGAGACCGGGTCTCAGCATCTTGAGACTCTGCTCCAGGAGACCGGGTCTCAGCGTCTTGAGACTCGGCTCCAGGGGACCGGGTCTCAGCGTCTTGAGACTCTGCTCCAGGAGACCGGGTCTCAGCGTCTTGAGACTCGGCTCCAGGAGACCGGGTCTCAGTGTCTTGAGACTCGGCTCCAGGAGACCGGGTCTCAACGTCTTGAGACTCTGCTCCAGGAGACCGGGTCTCAGCGTCTTGAGACTCGGCTCCAGGGGACCGGGTCTCAGCGTCTTGAGACTCTGCTCCAGGAGACCGGGTCTCAGCGTCTTGAGACTCTGCTCCAGGAGACCGGGTCTCAGTGTCTTGAGACTCGGCTCCAGGAGACCGGGTCTCAACGTCTTGAGACTCGGCTCCAGGAGACCGGGTCTCAGAGTCTTGAGACTCGGCTCCAGGAGACCGGGTCTCAGCGTCTTGAGACTCGGCTCCAGGAGACCGGGCCTCAGACCACCGTGCGGGAATCTCTGTTGTGCAGATCCGTCCGGAGGAGGTGCTGACGCCCTCGGACCCGGGCCCCATGTTCCTGGTCGTGGAATGTCCGGACGCGTCCTTCGTGAGCCCCGTCACCTCCAACGCCGCCCTCCACCGGTACGATCGGCCGCCACGAGCCTCGCTCGCCGCACTCGGCCAAACTCGTGCAGGGCTCACCCATTATCTTAGTGATAGGGGTAGTGGTAGTGATGGGGGTAGTGGTAGGGGTAGTGATAGGGGGTAGTGATAGGGGTAGTGGTAGTGGTAGGGATAGTGATAGGGGGTAGTGATGGGGGTAGTGATAGGGGTAGTGGTAGGGGTAGTGATGGGGGTAGTGGTGGGGGTAGTGGTAGGGGTAGTGATAGGGGGTAGTGATGGGGGTAGTGATAGGGGTAGTGGTAGTGATAGGGGTAGTGGTAGTGATAGGGGTAGTGATAGGGGTAGTGGTAGTGGTAGGGATAGTGATAGGGGGTAGTGGTAGTGGTGGGGGTAGTGGTAGGGGTAGTGATAGGGGGTGGTGATGGGGGTAGTGATAGGGGTAGTGATGGGGGTAGTGGTGGGGGTAGTGGTGGGGGTAGTGATGGGGGTAGTGGTAGGGGTAGTGATGGGGGTAGTGATGGGGGTAGTGATGGGGGTAGTGGTAGGGGTAGTGATGGGGGTAGTGATGGGGGTAGTGGTAGGGGTAGGGGTAGTGGTGGGGGTAGTGATGGGGGTAGTGATGGGGGTAGTGATAGGGGTAGTGGTGGGGGGTAGTGATGGGGGTAGTGGTGGGGGTAGTGGTGGGGGTAGTGATGGGGGTAGTGATGGGGGTAGTGGTAGGGGTAGTGATAGGGGGTAGTGATGGGGGTAGTGATAGGGGTAGGGGTAGTGATGGGGGTAGTGGTGGGGGTAGTGATGGGGGTAGTGATGGGGGTAGTGATGGGGGTAGTGGTAGGGGCAGTGATAGGGGGTAGTGATGGGGGTAGTGATGGGGGTAGTGATAGGGGTAGTGGTAGGGGTAGTGGTGGGGGTAGTGATGGGGGTAGTGATGGGGGGTAGTGATAGGGGTAGTGATAGGGGTAGTGATGAGGGGTAGTGATAGGGGTAGTAATGGGGGTAGTGGTGGGGGTAGTGGTAGGGGTAGTGATAGGGGTAGTGGTAGTGATGGGGGTAGTGGTAGGGGTAGGGGTAGTGGTGGGGGTAGTGGGGGGGGTAGTGGTGGGGGTAGTGGTAGGGGTAGTGGTGGGGGTAGTGGTGGGGGTAGTGGTGGGGGTAGTGATGGGGGTAGTGATAGGGGTAGTGGTGGCGGTAGTGGTGGGGGTAGTGGTGGGGGTAGTGGTGGGGGTAGTGGTGGGGGTAGTGGTGGGGGTAGTGGTGGGGGTAGTGGTGGGGGTAGTGGTGGGGGTAGTGGTGGGGGTAGTGATAGGGGTAGTGGTGGCGGTAGTGGTGGCGGTAGTGATGGGGGTAGTGGTAGGGATAGTGATAGGGGTAGTGGTAGTGATGGGGGTAGTGGTAGGGGTGGGGGTAGTGGTGGGGGTAGTGATAGGGGGTAGTGATGGGGTAGTGGTGGGGGTAGTGATAGGGGGTAGTGATGGGGGTAGTGGTAGGGGTAGTGGTAGGGATAGTGATAGGGGTAGTGGTAGTGATGGGGGTAGTGGTAGGGGTAGTGATAGGGGTAGTGGTGGCGGTAGTGATGGGGGTAGTGGTAGGGGTAGTGATAGGGGTAGTGGTAGGGGTAGTGATTGATGGGGGGTAGTGATAGGGGTAGTGATGGGGGTAGTGGTGGGGGTAGTGGTGGGGGGTAGTGGTAGGGGTAGTGATGGGGGTAGTGGTAGGGATAGTGATAGGGGTAGTGGTAGTGATGGGGGTAGTGGTAGGGGTAGTGATCAGGGGTAGTGGTGGCGGTAGTGATGGGGGTAGTGGTAGGGGTAGTGATAGGGTAGTGGTAGGGGTAGTGATTGATGTGGGGTAGTGATAGGGTAGTGATAGGGGGTAGTGATGGGGGTAGTGGTGGGGGTAGTGGTAGGGGTAGTGATGGGGGTAGTGGTAGGGATAGTGATAGGGGTAGTGGTAGTGATGGGGGTAGTGGTAGGGGTAGTGATAGGGGTAGTGGTGGCGGTAGTGATGGGGGGTAGTGGTAGGGGTAGTGATAGGGGTAGTGGTAGTGATGGGGTAGTGGTAGGGGTAGTGATAGGGGTAGTGGTGGCGGTAGTGATGGGGGTAGTGGTAGGGGTAGTGATAGGGGTAGTGGTAGTGATGGGGGTAGTGGTAGGGGTAGTGATAGGGGTAGTGGTGGCGGTAGTGATGGGGGGTAGTGGTAGGGGTAGTGATAGGGGTAGTGGTAGGGGTAGTGATGGGGGTAGTGGTAGGGATAGTGATAGGGGTAGTGGTAGGGGTAGTGATTGATGGGGGGTAGTGATAGGGGGTAGTGATAGGGGTAGTGATGGGGGTAGTGGTGGGGGTAGTGGTGGGGGTAGTGGTAGGGATAGTGATAGGGGTAGTGGTAGTGATGGGGGTAGTGGTAGGGTAGTGATAGGGGTAGTGGTGGCGGGTAGTGATGGGGGTAGTGGTAGGGGTAGTGATTGATGGGGGGTAGTGATAGGGTAGTGATAGGGGTAGTGATGGGGGTAGTGGTGGGGGTAGTGGTAGGGGTAGTGATGGGGGTAGTGATAGGGGTAGTGGTAGGGATAGTGATAGGGGTAGTGGTAGTGATGGAGGTAGTGGTAGTGGTGGGGGTAGTGATGGGGGTAGTGATAGGGGTAGTGGTAGGGATAGTGATAGGGGTAGTGGTAGTGATGGAGGTAGTGGTAGTGGTGGGGGTAGTGGTGGGGGTAGTGATGGGGTAGCTATGTGTGTGTGTGTGTTGAACTTCTTTCGCACCGTACGTAGCCAACCTTGCTAATCGGAGGTGCGGGGGTCGGGGGTGGGGGGGGGTCAACAAATTAAAACACAAACAGCAGTTCTAAAGAAACGAGTCTTTTAAAATCTTGATGATTTAAAAGTGCATGGCTCCCAGCGGCTCCCTAATAGCGGCCGTCGACGCGCAGGCAACGTCGGCTGAACGTTGGCCGCGCAAGAGCTGCTGGTTCTGGAAGGACGAGGAGGTGGGGGCGGGGGAGAGAGTTAGCGACGTCGCTGGCGTTGAGACGTTGTCTTTCTGCCGCCGCCGCCACCGCCGTGCAGGTACCAGGCGGGCGGGGATCAGAGCCGGCTCTCCCTGGTCGTGCACATGGCGCCAGACCACGTGGTCTGCCACCCGCTCTACCAGGACTGGATGCAGAGGTGAGGCCAGCCGCACCCCCCCCCCCGCCCCCGCGGTGGCGACGCTGTGGACGCGTGGAGGTGTCATTGTGCACTCCCCATGCTGTCAGCCAGCATCCCGCACGTGTCAATAGGGGTAATGGCAGTGTAGTAGGTTCAAAGAGACTTGGACGACGTAGTCGGAGGCACACTTATTTATTAACCGTTCCACTCTACACAGGCCAAGGTATACAACACTCGAAGGGGTATCGGCCCCTTCACCCGTCTAACAGGGAGATCCCACGATCTCCAACCCGGCTAGCCCACTCCCAGGTCCTCCACTCGAGAGCTAGGGGAGGCTAGCTGATCCAGCTCTGGTCAAGCTGGGATCACGGCACCCTGAGCCACCAGACCGGCTCTTGCAAGAACATCGGCTCTGGGCTCTCGGGGCCACGCCACTGGCTTGCCCTGGTCGCTCCTTAGAAGGACGGCGATCCAGGGGAGTCCCAGGGCCTATCTCGCCGCTCTTCGCCCTTCACTGGTTTAAGCTAAACACTGAACCCCGAGCCCAGCGGCTCACCGTGGGGGATCCCAGCGCCGTTTCAGCCCCCCAGGGCTAAACGATGCGGACGTGGATGTCAGCATCCTTCCGCGTGCGGACATAACCACCCCTGGTGTGTTTGTTCGCCTGCCCGTAACGCCTCTACAGCAGCGTGATTGAGCCCAGTGTTAAAGGGCTACGCCCCAAGTGGCCAACGGTAACCCCGATGGGATAACGGATCCCGGGACGCAGACCCCCCCCCCCCGGGAGGGGGGCTGGGTGATGACATCACCCTCCCAGGAGCTGGTGGAAGGTCCTAGAAGCAAGGCGTGGCTGGGGCGGAGCGAGCCACCCGCCCGCGGCCCTGGATAGAAGCCGCACCTCTCAACGGCCCCAGGCGGTTGTCGTGAAGAGAAGAGCCCCGAGGGTAGAGCCGTACCCCTGGCAAGGGTCGGCTCAAGCTTGTGTAATAAAGGTCGTTGAGGCCACTTCTGGAATCCGGTCTTTATTCGTCTTTCATTACAACACTCCTTCACGCTGCTGACAGACAGCGTGAGAGGGATAGAGAGAGAGAGAAAGACACGCGCAGCCACGTGGCAGCCTGGACCACGTGGCAGCCTGGACCACGTGGCAGCCTGGACCACGTGGCAGCCTGGACCACGTGGTCCAGCCTGGACCACGTGGTCCAGCCTGGACCACGTGGCAGCCTGGACCACGTGGCAGCCTGGACCACGTGGTACAGCCTGGACCACGTGGCAGCCTGGACCACGTGGTCCAGCCTGGACCACGTGGCAGCCTGGACCACGTGGTCCAGCCTGGACCACGTGGTCCAGCCTGGACCACGTGGCAGCCTGGACCACGTGGCAGCCTGGACCACGTGGCAGCCTGGACCACGTGGCAGCCTGGTACCCCGCTCTCGCGTGGCCCCTTCCCTCGTTCGTTCCAGTTCTGACCACGTGTTGTTCGTCTCCACCCCTATTTAATACCCGGGTCACGTGGTA